TGCTGGTTTTTAAGCAGTTTTGAGTGAGAACTAATTTGCGTTGTTAGGTCTGTTAGGAAATGTTGTGTTAGACCGTGGATGTTAGCTATGTATTTACTGATCTGCGATCAGAAAATACAATCAAAGCACTGAATGTACTGATGGGGAGGCTATGACAGAATGTTTCAGACTTATAGTTTCTTTTCTTTTTGCTTAAACTGTGTTGTTAAATAAGAAGATATGCACATTGCGCCATTTATCGTTCAACCATTCATAAATATGGTTAATATGGTTAACTATTCATTTGTTAATATTCCAGAACATTTCATTGAGGTCTACATTCGGACTGTTAATCATGCAAATTTTGAAAAACCTAAAAATCATTTATAAATGACATACCAGCAGGTATGACGACTGTTCATTATAAGATCATCATACCATTTTACAACTGACGGTTCCTTATCAAAATATTCTAAGACTGTTCATCACATTTTAATATCATTAATTGATAATAACATCTGCAAGTTAAGCAACATTTTAATTGAACATAAAAATTAAACATATTTACATGTACCATAATTGAGATCAATAAGACACTGTCTTGTGATGAGTATTAATATTCATGCTCTACGGACAGAAAGTTGTCTTCTCCCGAAGCAAATCTCGAATAAAAACACGTTTCAGAAAATTATTCCCATTTCATTACTCGTCGCTGACTTTTGACGGCTTCGGATAATATATAAGCTAAATATTTCTTGAAAAAATACATATCTGCAAAGCTTATTCAAAATTGAATCAACCTAAGTGAAAATTGATCAGGAAGTTATATCTTCTTTTTTTACCGCCAACACTCAACCAATGTTAATCGATAGATTTTAAACCTCACTAGCTTGAAATATATACTGCGGAAAATCTGTTGTAAACAGGGTGTGCGGTTATTACGTAGGGTTTTCCTTGTCGACCATTTCCCGCAAATAGATGAGAACATCGAAGCGTCAGTGCTATGAATGGTGTTATAAATAGCGTGTTTTGGAGGTTTTTGTTGAAACTTCTCCAAATCCCTCCAGAGGTATGCATGTCGCGGAGAAGGCACATGGCAGGTCAAGGTCAAGTCATCTCAAGTACTAGAGGTGATTGGTTGACCTGTCGTAACTTACTCTGGAGGTTTGGCGCTAATGAATGCCGTTTTTGTTGTCGTCAGTCAGGAAGTTGATGCCTTGACAGTACTGTCGTCTCCTTTACCACTAACGAACGAAGAATGGGCTACCAGGAAGATTCTGCTTGAAAAAGACGTCCCCGATGCTATAATTTCGGACATAATATTATGGTTATTCCGGCGCCGAGAATAAATGAACTTAAAACACACACACTTTTGTTGAAAAAAAAAAACAAAACCAAAAAACAACAACATATTTTCTGTAGTAATTTTTCAAGTGTTGTAAAAAAAAAACGAAATTCGTCTTATGCCGCCAATTATTTTTAGAACACAAACATATAAGTTCTTTTTATTTGATTTATTCAAATAAACATTATAATCACTTCAGCGCGCGCAAATATCGTTTTCAAATTAAAATTTCGTAAGATATGTTGATGAATTTCCGATGCTCGACTGTAAGTCATTCGTATATATATATATGCTTTTTTTTTTTTGTTTGTTTTTTAAAAGCTTCTTATTCTTTAATATTTTTATGTATCTCATAATCTGTATTGAAAATTTTTATTTACACATGGACTATCAAATTATGATTCGTTGCCCTAGAATTGAATAAACTTTCTAATTACACAATACGGAGTCATTCATTTGATTGAAGACTGATCTTTGCGTCTTTCTCTGAAATAATTATTTCCTTGTTAAAACATATTTGACCACATATTTCTGTCATTTAACTGTTCACTTTACTTCCGATTTTTGTTGTACCGAAACACATGTTTTTCTATTTGTGTTTTCTATTCGAATCTATAATCAGTTTAATGGATCACCACCAGGTAAACTACTACTAGGTACTTTGGTCATGTTTTTTTTTACCCCAAATATTTTGAATTTTTCTATTGGGATTAAAAAATGAGCGTAGATAACTAAACAACTGGTTGTATAAATCCCTGACCTGTCTAATTCTAATTATGAGATTAGTGGATATATTTAAGACTTTCACTACAAAATATTCCTAAACAAAAGAGCACATGTTTAAATTTTATTCCTTTAAAAAAAAAGATCAGAGTAGGGATCTGTCAATTGCCAGACATATTTTTAAAAGATACTTTTATGTTAAAAGTTTGAATTAATGAATTATGTAAGATGAAAATATGAGTATTGCTTTTTTTTATTTTGCTAATATTAAATGTAATCTTGTTGGTGAAATTTTGTCGGAGGGTCCTTACGGATTTTGTAGTTAAATAGTTTTTTTTCGGCGATACATGGTTTAAGAATATAATGTTTTTCAAACTATATGTTTCATCACCATTAGTAAATTTTTAGTTAAATGTATGCAAAATATTAAACTAACAGCTATATGATACAGCGGTTTATGAGCGTTTTCCGCGTACAAACCTCCTAAGGTGTACTAATAAGTTAAGTTTTCCTTAGGTTTCCTTAGTTATCACGCAAGCAATGATCCATGTTCTTTTTGTCTTTAAAAAAATATTAAGGACTATTAATGGTTTATAACAACAAAAGAACATTGCGGGAATGATATTGAGACTACGGTGTTTGTAAACGTTTTAGTTAATGGCCCGTCATAAAAGTTGGTCGCTGCGTAGTAATTGGAAAATTGTTTTCAAAAATAATAAAAAATATTTGCCACCTAATTAAAGCATTTACCTATAAATTTTCAATTTATGTTTTTTTGTTAAAAAAAATTATTGATAAAGTATTATATAGAAGGGTTTTCATACCTGAACTATTTTATTACCGCAACGTACGTATGCCTAAACCTGATTACCGCGGCAGTATGACATCACGGAGTAGTGATTTTGAAAAAAATAACAAACAAAAAATCAAGAATTTTTCAGAGAAATTATTATCTTGACAAATTGCAGATATGAAATAAAAAAAATGAAAATATTTTCATATTGTAGATGTCTGTGATTAGTAATGAGTCAGCTTAGAAAAATCAAGGTAACTATTTTTTGACCTGATTACCGCGGCAGTAAGATTTGACGGATGGTATTAACACCTCCCCAAAAACGGATGAATTGATATAGCATTAATGTTTGTGCGCAAAAGCAGATGAATTGACACTCTCAGTGCCACGGAAAAAGATAAGATATCATTCTTGTCAAATGAATATACAAAAGAAAATCATCATTTTTAAATGAAAGAAAACTAAAATTAATAGCCTGTTTTATAAAAATTGTAAAAATCAATGTTGTTTAAAGCCCTTGCTGTTTTTTGCAAAATCTTTCAAATCTCCATGTTAGTCGCAAAACAAAAAATGGTACTATTTTAAATATCCTGTTAAAAATTGTACTTTAAAAATTGTTTTGAAATGATAAGTCATTCATTTGGTGTAATTTAGACTATCAATAAAGGTTAATGGAACCCAATGTTACAGTTTTTTAATTTTTTTTTTGTATTTTAAACATTTTTTTTTTTCATTTTTAGTTTAATCAAATTTAATCTTGAAGTTTCACGCAGTGGGAATATATGGTTTTTCCCTTCAGTGTTGGTCCTTTTCCCAGCACTAATTTAAGTGTTGAGAATTTGGTCTGCTCAAAGCCCGGTGTAGGGGGCGTGAGGGATGTTGCAATTTATTCATTGTCACTCATTTTCAGACTAAATCCAACCCGACTCTAAAATTTTCGTTTAAATTTTTTTTGTGTTTTAATGCCCCCTGAGGGAAAATCATTTTTGTTTCCCAAGATTTTTGAAATTTTAAATTTTAAAGGGGGGATTTTAAAAGAAACCTTGTTTGTGAATATTTGGGGAAAACAGAGGGGTTTAAAAGCGCTTAAAAAATTTAGCTATTTCCTTGATAAAATTATGTTTTTATTTGTTTATTTCATAAGACGTGTGGGGAGTATGCATTACATGATCCTCTTTAGATACGCCAATGGATATACTTAACAGCTGTTGCCAGTTGTATCACTTAAAACGAGGAAATGGAAAATCTATTATGAATGTTAGCTACATCAACTAATCTTTTAAAGGAAGTCAACTTTATTTTTACACAGGACAAAGATTTGTGGGTACAAAATGCTAGACGATAAGATACTATAAAGATGGATTAAACGGATGTTGCCTAATAGGTAATGAATGTTTACGTAGTTATTTAAAAAAGAAAATCCTTTCGATCTCTTATACACACTTTTATATTTATCAGTCTATGTTATGCATCATAGTTAGTTATTTATTTACTTGTTATGTACAATGTTATTCGAGTATCCAAATATTTATACCTGAAACTATTTTGTAGAATCTATTTAAACTGGCAAAGAGTACTTACATTTTGAAATTAGTGCGAGTCTAATTTTCTCAAAATAAACCTTATTTTCAAAGAATTAAAACTCAGTTATAATGGATAGCAATACAACTATAATAAAACTAACGAATCTAGAAATGGTTATTATATTTTTCCTTTGACCTTCGATCGTGTTTCCCAGCATATTCGATCTTTATTTACTCGTTAAGCAGATGTTGATAATGTTAAAAGTATTGTCAGTAAGAATCTTTCTGTTTTTCTGCCAGCGCTAATGTAGTTAATTAAATATAAGATTAATAAAAATGGATATTCCAGGGACCGTAGGCGACGGACGGAGAGTTCAAGGTAAATAAATTCTGGTGGGAATTATTGTTTCCCTTAAATCGGTTTTTCAATTTCCCCTTTTTCTAAAATAACAATGAAAACCTGTTTCATAAATTTTGGCGGATTGTGTTGCATATATTGACCACTGACCCTCTTGTCATTGTTTTAACTGGAAAAAAACGACACAAAAAGATGGTGACGTCATGTATGACGTCGTTTTGTATGTGACAGACAAAGCGTTACGAAGGTACACTTAAAACTTATTACAGTTTTCATATTTTCTTTACTAAATAATTCTTTGTGTGAAAATCTCTTAATTTAGCTGTTGTTATCAAGTACGTTTAGGGTAGATCTGTATCTAAGTAAAACGAAAAATTATTAAACAGCATAAAAAATTTATGACGTTATGAGGCATTGGACATCATTATATATTTGCATGACCAGCTTTGACGGACAAAGACTTTTTGCCAATGGCATATTTCATGCTTGGTTTGCCGATATAAACTGGAAGCTTGTTTATTTACAAACTTAATTAGTCCTAGAGCTTGACAGATAAATATCAATTGCAGAGAACTTTTTCTAGAGATCCACAAAGTGTTTTAATGCGATAAGCGTTATTTTGACCTTGTGCCAGGAAAGACAAGAATCTAATCAATAATTCAGAATGAAAGCTATCCGCTGTTGTAGAAAATCTACTATAAAAAGAAACATTGGTGGAGTTTATTTGCCTACAGCTAAATTTACATTTTAACTGTAGCTTCTTCTTCATTCTCATCAGTATTTAGGCCAAAAATTTTATACAAGTGAAATGGGCGGCAACAACTTGTGGAATTAATTCTGCCATACTATCGTAGATTTTTATCAACTGAGCATCGCTTGACAATGGCCAGGGTGCAGAGAAATGCGACTGACTCGGAGAAATCGTTGTCGACTTATGATGAAGAAACAGAAGATGAAAAATCAAAAGATAAAAATGTACAAGTCATATGTGAACACAATGAAGAAAAGTCCTTAGATGAAACTTTTACAACTGGTCAACACAGGAATCTAAATAATACAACTGAGAATACGTCAGATATTGGGAGTATTGTAAACAAGACAATTGAAAGTGTCAATGATAAAGAGACAGACTTGTATGGAGAGGTTGCTAAAGAAAAGAGTTTGAGTGATGAAGTAGGACCGACAAAGAACGTAGGGGCGATTGCTTTATCTCTTATGGTCAAAGGTGACACACTAAATGATCCATTAGAAGTCGCAGCTGAAGAAGATGTTGACATTTTGGAAGCATCTCAAAAGAAAGAAAAGGAGATGCAAAAAGAAAAGTTTGATTTATGTAAGTGAATTTACATAGCAATAATAATAATAATTATCATAACAAAATAAAATAATGATATCATATCAATCCGCTCTTTTCAGGCTGTAGGCCTATACATGTATTTGAATAATAAATTTCAAAAGTTTGTGTATGAGTTATAATGAAAGTTTGAGTTACGTTATAAAAGAATATTTGTTTTAAAGATGCATGTTGGTCGTGAATATTACCGCCTCCGTGGTCGAGGCGTTAGAGTCGATGACTTCTAATCCAGTTACCTCTCTGGCGTGGGCTCGATCCCCGGGAGATTCTTTGGTAGTTTAGCACGGATGAAGGTATTCTAGTACTGGTGTAACTCTCCAGGAACGATGGTTAGGAAAGTACCCGCCTATATGACTGAAATACTGTTGGGAAAAGGCGTAAAATGAAACAAACAGTTAATAATAATAAGCAGACGTATTTTGTGTTACACTTAAATACAGCGATATAAACAAAATTAAATATTTTATCAATTAAAATGATTATAGTGTCTGATAAAAGAAGAGGGCCAAGATAAATCATATATTATTGTGACTTAATCCACATAGTAAGCAAAATATTTTTCTAAAGATTCAATACTTTTTGGATAATTTAGGATGTTTATTTCAATGAATGTTTATTAGTTTGACTATTGAATATATTAAAAGTTTTAGGTAAACAGTGTGCATTCTTTGTGTAATGTACGGAAGTACATTATATCATGTTTACAGCTATGGCTGAAAAGGAACCTTTACTTACTAGCGGCAGACATTCCGGTAGACGTTCTGCTTTTCGAGATTTACACGACGAGGATAGTGACGTAAATGTCGTCTATTCGCGTCCCGGAAGTGCCATTGATGCGAATATAAACGTCACCTACCACGACAGCAGCAGTGATTACCATGACTACAGCACGCGCATTGATGGAGGACGAGCCAATGAGAATGGTCCTTGTCTGGATGGTTCTATTATTTTGTACAAAAGAAGATGGTATATCCTGATGATCCTTAGTTTATGCGTTACTCTTCAAAATGCAGTGTGGGGTACATGGGGTCCCATTGCCGAATCTGCTAAGGTATGTAAAGCTTTCTTTAACTTTAATTAGAGCTAAATAATATTGAAGAGCACGGGCCTCTTGTAACGTTTCCTTACGCTATTTTTCCTAAAGAATGTATTTGAGTGTATATATCTTATTTTAAATAGTACTTCTAAACTTCATAGATAGTGACAAAGTTCTGTCAATCAAATAAATCATGAGGAAATCACTATTATATCATACCATGGACATTCCCAATATCATGATAATGAAGTAATAATTTCTTAGTCGCAAGTTTCTTATGTCACGTTCTAATCATGACGGTAGGTATAGGTTATAGTTATATACAGGGTTTTAGTATAAATAAAGTTTTATCACAGTGTTGTGATTGTTTGATTGTTTTTGGGTTTTACGTCACACCGACACAGTATAGGTCATTCGGCGACGTTGCATCTTTACTGGTGGAGGAAGACCTCAGGTGCGAAGGAAGCATTACAATGTATTTCAGGCACGAACGGGCACCTGAGTAGAACCGCCGACGTTCCGTAAGCTAGCTGGATAGCTTCCTCACATGAAAGAATCCAAAGTCCTTGTTGGGATTCGAACCCACAGCGGTGAGGGGCAAGTGGTACAGTGTTGTGAGTTTGATTTTAAAAGCACTATTGAATCGTTATATATACAAATATAAACAAATAATTACGTATCTCATATGTGTCATATCGATTTTCATTGATTATAATTATATGAGGAAAAATGCATATTATGTGCCCATAGGTTGTTCAATAGATGCATATTCCTCCTTATTGTTGCTAACAAAGGTGGTACACGTAATATCAAAAAGACGCTGGTTTCTTGAATTGCTACATGCTATTACGGATGTGGATAGTTTTACTTAATCATTTAACATTACATACACGCGTTATCTTTATTATGATTGTATTATTTTGTTTCAGATTAGTTGAATAAGCGATTAATACAGGTTCATGGTCACATACATAAAGGTCATTCAGTTCATACAATTTCATTTATTTTAGTTTGTGTACGGTTGGGACACAACAATGGTGTTTATTATAATAAATTGTGGCAACATTGGTGTCCTGCTACCAGCACTGTTTACAGGTCACGTGATCAGCAGTAAAGGTATACCCTTTCCTAGAAACATAGAAAAATAACTTGTATTTTTAGAATATTGTAAATATAGATCGAACACTTACCCCATCTCATGGCTAGTAGAGTTTTGTTCATGCCTGTAAAATGTTTATAGTAACTTTTATTTTGTTAATAATTAATCCGACTGACCTGTGAAAAAAATAGCAGTAAATCACCTTTGTTGATCTATTAATTTCCCCCAATAAATATTAAAGTGTCTATTGATAATTATGATTTTGCTGTTGCATTTTGGTTGTCTAATCGTTTTATACAGGTTTACGAGTATCAATGATCTCGTGCAGCTTCTTGTTGGCTCTTGGTGCGGGACTTAGGACAATTAGTAAACATAAAACTGTGGGAACAATGTAAGATTTCTTTTTTTCACACGTCCAACATTTCATACGCCCAGATTTCGATCATTTTAAATTTACATTATACATGTGCTTGTAATGAAGCTTAAGAAAGACTTTTTTTATCTTATTTTAAATTCGATCTCTACTAAAGTCAACCACGTTCTGTTACTTAATAATAAATCGGATCATCAAGTAAATTTTCTTCTGGTTACAGACTTATCGGAGCAGGCCAGTTTTGCAATGGCCTTGCCGGAAGTATTACTCAGGTTATTCCGGCTGCGTTGTCCGAGGCCTGGTTTCCTGTTCATGAAAGAGCTACAGCGACCGCTATAGGGGTCATCTCTAACTCATTGGGAAGCATAGTTTCATTCATGCTTGGTAATATTAGTTTCTATAGATTAATTCTATATTCCATTAGCAAACGTTGAATATTTGTTCATGGTCTGTTTCTGCGTTCGTGCGTTTTTTGTGGGTTTTTTTTATTGTTGATTTATCAATCTCGGGTGATGATGTTTCTTTGCTTATTTGAAGTATTTGCACAGTACCAGTGCTCTTTCGGTTTTACAAAGGGAAAATGTGCACCTCTGCTGGGTTATATGAAATCGAATTCGGTCATAGTTTTATATCGGTGTTTTGATTGACAAATACCATGAAGTTATTAATAAAGAAACTTTGAATCAAACTAAAAGAGATTTTATTTTTTGTTTATATATATTTTTGGTGTGAAAAGTTTTAACACTTAGTCATTCAGTCTAACAATTTTACCTTTGATTATTTTTAATTTCGTATATATCTTTGCTTCTAATACCAATTTTTATATACAAGGCATGTATTGTATTATTACTATTATTGTATATTCCAGGTCCAAATCTAGTCAATGAACCAAATAGGTATGTTTCTTGTCCTTGTCCTTGGGTTTACATAACCATGATGTTTCCTCTGAAATTATATGAGTCTTCTTTTATTCCATTACAAAATATAACGAGGCCAAAATTTGAAACTTATTCAGTATATTAAATCATCTTTAAATGGGATGTGAACAGTTTTAAAAATGACATAATATTTATTTTCAGTGACAACACAATAACATCAAATGCAAGTTTTCTTTACACGGATATTTCTAATACAACCAATGGAAATGATACTCGTTCTCAAGGTAACTATGACACAGAAAATACTATTACGCCCTCATTGTTCTTTATCTGTTTGAAAACATTCATTTTTGAATATTATAATGTATAAAAATTATAGTATGGTTTTATGGTGCCTTTAAAGAATAATGATACTTCTCCGTTTTGTATAGAATGTATTTGTGTTTCTAAAGACTAAGAGAAATACAAAAATAGACCAGTATTTTTCTTAAACTTAGTGTAAAAAACAGCGAATTAAGGTTTGTGGAAAAAACACTCGGTTTGGGTGAAAAACGAAGTCTAAACATTCTTATTTATTTACCAAACATTTATGTTCAAAGTATAAATATCATTTAAATACATGTATCTTCAACAGAGTTACTCTACGGTTTTAGATATTTACTTATATAAAATATATAAAATTATGAGGTGTGCTGAGGCACTCGTGTTCTTTTTGTAATTTTTATAATTTGCGTTTTTCTATCTATTTATTTACTTTTAAACTCTTATTTTTTATTGTCATGGTTCATCTGAATTTAGGTTTTGCTATTTTTAACAGAAACAGAAACGATTTCACGCCAAATTTGGATATTAACTATGATTGGTAAGTAGTAATTATAGAAAAAATATATAGTAATTACATGTATATAAAAAATTATAGAATAACTTCCATTTTATAATACACAGAGAATGTTCTTTACAAACCATTTCATTATGCTGATCAATAGATATTCCTGGACATACAGCACAACCTGTGCAAAGCATGTATCTTTGGAACAGAAAGATTTTGGTTTTTGCTTGAGAAGTGTTGCTCTTATTTAGTTTAATTCATTATGCTGTTTTATTGTTTGTTGTTTTTAACAGATAATTGCTCTACACCGGGTCGTAAATTTTGCCCTGTACGTATTTTTTAAAAATAGCAAACTAGTTACTATAATTTTGGTAGCAGTATTTTTTACATAAAAACTTAAAATTGTCTTTCAGAGTTTTGTGCGGGAGGTTTTCTGTTCATTTTAACTATTGCGTATTTCCCGGCACAGCCCCCATCACCACCAAGCCGGTCAGCTCGGGAAAAGAGAATCAACTTTACTCAGGGATTATGTTCTGTGATCAGGTATAAACGTTTGCAACTTGTAAATTAAATTTAATATTTAATATAATCTATTTATTATTTTGAATTAATATAGTAAAACTTTATGTAAATACCGAGCACGGTTTAGATTGTACGTTTGGGATATGAATGCTTTTAATTTAAAATTCCATTTTAGAAGATTCACAAATCTGGCATATTTCAATTAATACGCATATACTGTTATCTAAATTAAAAGTGTTGAAACAAGCCTTTAACTTCTATTATATGGTTTTGCTTTTCTTGGCATTACTTTAGTTTTTGATATTTTAACCAATTAAATTCGTCGACAAAGACTTCATTTGCTCCGCTTTTATCAATAAAATAAGCTTTCAAAGTTAGGTAAAGAGATGAGGCGCATTGTGGTATATATTTACAGACAGCCATTGATACTTCTTGCAGCCATGTCATGTGCAGTGCCGTGGGCTGTGTATGGAAACTGGATGGCTCTCCTTAATGTAAATTTGCATGAAATAGGTATATCACAGGTAAATTTACATTAAAAAGGGATATATAATACTGTTATTTTACATAAAATAAGCAAATCATAGACAAATATACATAAAAACTGATACATGACGACAATATTAATTTACATGAAATAGGCTACATTTGTTCTTCATTCAGATAAATGTTTTTTAAATTTTAACTTAATAACGTATTAGTTCAGTTAACATGGCATTGACATCCCTATGTTAATGTAAATTTACAAAATAAAATTTTCATTTTCAGAGTCAGTCGGGACTGTTTGGGTTTTATGCATCAATAGCCGGGATCATTGGTGGCATTGCAATAGGAAGGTAATAATCGCAGTCTGTAACATGTATATTGCAATTTTTCTTTCATTTAAGATACAATAATTTCAACTATATAGTATATCTAAATTCTAAGTTTTTAAAAACGTCATTATTTACGTAGATTTGTGCTTAAATCGAATTATAAAAGTAACTGGATATAATGTTCGTTTGATCAACTTGTTAATAAACTATAGGTGATATCAATTTCATTTTTTTATCTTCAGAATTGCCGACCGTTTTCAGCGACGTCTTAAAAAATTTGTAATGCTGGTTTTCTTCCTGGCATTGATACTCATTATTTGGATAACATGCATGCGACTAAGCTACCTCCCTAAATCAATAGGTAACGTAAGTGATATCCGTATTTTTGTTTATAAATATTATACTCTCCTTTTTATCCTTAGTAGTGAAATACTGAGTATAATCTACATTGTATATGCATATCATTAACCGTAAGCCAGACTATTCCCCATGATCTCCAATCACATTTTGAGGATATAAGGATTGAAAAGTGTTTAACTAATTGTCAAAAGTATGTTTCATATACTATTTCAAAACAATAAAAATAGTTTTGCTTTCACCATTTCTGCACATGTCATTCATTTCTTCAAAAATGTTTGGTGTCACCATTTCTATCATCCATTACTTCAGAAATGACTTGTGTCAACATTTCTGTCTTCAATTATTTCCAAAATATTTGATTTCACCATTTCTGTCTTCCATTACTGAAATGTTTGGTGGCACCATTTCTGTCTTCCATTATTGAAATGTTTGGTGTCACCATTTCTGTCTTCAATTACTAAATGTTTGGTGTCATCGTTTCTGTCTTCCATTATTGAAATGTTTGGTGGCACCATTTCTGTCTACCATTATTGAAATGTTTGGTGGCATCATTTCTGTCTTCCATTATTGAAATGTTAGGCGTCACCATTTCTGTCTTCAATAACTAAATGTTTGGTGTCACCGTTTCTGTCTTCCATTATTGAAATGTTTGGTGGCACCATTTCTGTCTTCCATTTTTGAAATGTTTGGTGGCACCGTTTCTGTCTTTCCATTATTGAAATTTTTGGTGGCACCATTTCTGTCTTCCATTATTGGAAATGTTTGGTGGCACCATTTTCTGTCTTCCATTATTGAAATGTTTGGTGTCACCGTTTCTGTTTTCAATTACTTCAGAAATGTTAGGTGTCGCCATTCTGCCTTCCATTACTAAATGTTTGGTGTCATTGTTTCTGTCTTCCATTATTGAAATGTTTTGTGACACCATTTCTGTCTTCCATTACTAAATGTTTGGTGTCACCGTTTCTGTTTTCTATTATTTAGAAATGTTTTGTGTCACCGTTTCTGTCTTCCATTATTGAAATGTTTGGTGGCACCATTTCTGTCTTCCATTATTGAAATGTTGGTGTCACCGTTTCTGTCTTCCATTTATTGAAATGTTTGGTGGCACCATTTTCTGTCTTCAATTACTTCAGAAATGTTAGGTGTCGCCATTTCTGTCTTCCATTATTTGAAATGTTTGGTGTCACCGTTTCTGTCTTCCATTATTTCCAAAATGTTTAGGTGTCACCATTTCTGTCTTCCATTACTTGAAATGTTTGGTGTCACCATTTCTGTCTTCAATTACTTTCGAAATGTTTGGTGTCACCATTTCTGTCTTCCATTTCTCTAAATGTTTTGGTGTCGCCGTTTCGGTCCTCCATTACTTTAGAAATGTTTGGTGTCACCATTTCTATCATCTATTACTTCAGAAATGTTTGGTGTCACCATTTCTGTCTTCCATTATTTCAGAAATGTTTGGTGTCACCATTTCTGTCTTCCATTATTTCAGAAATGTTTGGTGTCACCATTTCTGTCTTCCATTACTTCAGAAATGTTTGGTGTCACCATTTCTGTCTTCCATTACTTCAGAAATGTTTGGTGTCACCATTTCTGTCTTCCATTACTTCAGAAATGTTTGGTGTCACCATTTCTGTCTTCCATTACTTTTGAAACGTTTGGTGTCACCATTTCTGTCTTCCTTTTCTTCAGAAATGTTAAGTGTCACCTTTTATGTCTTCCATTACTGAAATGGTTAGTGTCACCATTTCTGTCTTCCATGACTTCCAAAATGTTTGGTGTCACCATTTCTGTCTTCAATTACTAAATGTTTGGTGTCATCGTTTCTGTCTTCCATTATTGAAATGTTTGGTGGCACCATTTCTGTCTACCATTATTGAAATGTTTGGTGGCATCATTTCTGTCTTCCATTATTGAAATGTTAGGCGTCACCATTTCTGTCTTCAATAACTAAATGTTTGGTGTCACCGTTTCTGTCTTCCATTATTGAAATGTTTGGTGGCACCATTTCTGTCTTCCATTTTTGAAATGTTTGGTGGCACCGTTTCTGTCTTCCATTATTGAAATTTTTGGTGGCACCATTTCTGTCTTCCATTATTGAAATGTTTGGTGGCACCATTTCTGTCTTCCATTATTGAAATGTTTGGTGTCACCGTTTCTGTTTTCAATTACTTCAGAAATGTTAGGTGTCGCCATTCTGCCTTCCATTACTAAATGTTTGGTGTCATTGTTTCTGTCTTCCATTATTGAAATGTTTTGTGACACCATTTCTGTCTTCCATTACTAAATGTTTGGTGTCACCGTTTCTGTTTTCTATTATTAAAATGTTTTGTGTCACCGTTTCTGTCTTCCATTATTGAAATGTTTGGTGGCACCATTTCTGTCTTCCATTATTGAAATGTTTGGTGTCACCGTTTCTGTCTTCCATTATTGAAATGTTTGGTGGCACCATTTCTGTCTTCAATTACTTCAGAAATGTTAGGTGTCGCCATTCTGTCTTCCATTATTGAAATGTTTGGTGTCACCGTTTCTGTCTTCCATTATTTCCAAAATGTTAGGTGTCACCATTTCTGTCTTCCATTACTGAAATGTTTGGTGTCACCATTTCTGTCTTCAATTACTTTCGAAATGTTTGGTGTCACCATTTCTGTCTTCCATTTCTAAATGTTTGGTGTCGCCGTTTCGGTCCTCCATTACTTTAGAAATGTTTGGTGTCACCATTTCTATCATCTATTACTTCAGAAATGTTTGGTGTCACCACTTTTGTCTTCGATTATTTCAGAAATGTTTGGTGTCACCATTTCTGTCTTCAATTACTTCCGAAATGTTTGGTGTCACCATTTCTGTCTTCCATTACTGAAATGTATGGTGTCACCATTTCTGTATTCCATTACTTCCGACATGTTTGGTGTCACCATTTCTGTCTTCAATTTCTTCAGAAATGTTTGGTGTCACCATTTCTGTCTTCCATTACTTTTGAAACGTTTGGTGTCACCATTTCTGTCTTCCTTTTCTTCAGAAATGTTAAGTGTCACCTTTTATGTCTTCCATTACTGAAATGGTTAGTGTCACCATTTCTGTCTTCCATGACTTCCAAAATGTTTGGTGTCACCATTTCTGTCTTCAATTACTTTAGAAATGTTTGGTGTCACCATTCCTGTATTCCATTATCTCAGAAATGTTTGGTGTCACCATTTCTGCCTTCAATTACTTTAGAAATGTTTGGTGTCACCATTTCAATCTTCCATTACTTTAGAAATGTTTGTTGTCACCATTTCTGTCTTCCATTATCTCAGAAATGTTTGGTGTCACCATTCCTGTCTTCCGTTACTTTAGAAATGTTTGTTGTCACCATATCTGTCTTCCATTATTTCAGAAATGTTTGGTGTCATCATTTCAATCATCCACTTTAAGCTTTTTTGTTATCTGTTCTTAATCAATCAAATGTTACACTAGTATCATTTTATCCCCCATTTATTTAATTACAGTAATGTTTGGAGTATCGATATCAGCACTGGGTGTCATTGATGAACGCGGCACTACCATTGTGTTATGAGATGGCGTGTGAATGTGGATATCCCATACATGAAGGAATAATTGGTACTTTTATAAGCCTGGAAATAAACGCTGCAGCTGTGATATTTTTACTTATTAAATTTATTCCAAATATAGGTACGCATAATTTAACTGCATGTACATTTATATACATAATAAAGATATAACGGGGAAAGAAAGATACATCCACGTCGCCTTCCCCTTTTTCCTGGTTGATACAGGCACGTATTTGGTTTCCTCAAGGCACATTATGCCTCAGAAACAAAAGTTTTTTTTTTTTGTTGTTTTTTTTTTTTTTTTTTTTAATCCTGCAGCCAGGGCAAAAATGAGTTTTATAATATTTAAAGAACGGTTTTAGGGCACGTTACATGATTTTTTTCTCCTCATGAAAGTAGCACTGAATATGGAATTATTTGTCTTAAACTACAGTACTGTTTTGACTTCCATACAAAATACTATAAATCTCTAAAATAGTACTAATTGCAAAAAGAAAAGAGAAAAAAGTTAGGAAATTATAACATGGCACACACAAAACCGAAATAGGAATCAAAGTATTTCTGGGGCATAATGGGCCTTAAATGTTTTCATTTCATTTTCCAAACGAAGATAAAAGTTTTGCTTAAAATTGATCTGGAAATGTTGCTTTTACTTTAAGAAAGTAGGAATTTGTGTAACAGTATGTAAAAGTTTGATATTCATAATGGAATTTGATATTTTGAATTAATAAACTTTCCCATTGACGAATTCGCTTGATATAAATGAAGCAATCCTTTCCTTTCCTTGATTTCACTAATTAATTCAGGTGTGATCTGGATGAACTGGACGTTTGTTGGTGTATTGGGTACCAGCACATTTTGCCTGGCTTTCTTGAGAGAGAAATACCACAGAACAGATGTAGATATTGTAATAACTGTCGAGCCACCAGATAACAACAAATAAAGTAACGGGCAGATAAAGGAATTAGACAGATAAAGAGGGGGCAACAAGAAGATCAGCTTCTAAGTTAACATTAGACTCACGGGAATGAGAATGTTTCATAAACTCATGAAATGACGCCATCAACACCAAAAATGCATTCCACTTTGAAAGATAATGACGTAATAAGTATGTAGTTTTGTAAGGAAGGGCGTCGCGAACCTTTTCACTGTTATATAGCATTTTATATAAGGAAATGAAGACTAAACTTGTGGTAGCAAATGATCTCATATATAAACAAAGGGGCCTTACATTCCATTTTCACACTGTTGACATCTTTCACACTATCACTTGAACCGGAAGAAGTGTCATCTTGGCATCATTTTGCAAATCATCTATCTATGGACCCATGAATATATTGCGTGTCATTGCAAGGACATTACACGTGTATACATGTATTAATTTAGCAATGTTATGATTATATTCGGCATACGTCAATACTATTGTGAAACCTATTCTACTGGAAATGAAGTCGATGTACATGCTAAAATTGTGTGTATTTCCCCTGGTTTGAATTTGTAATAGTCTATTGAAATTTTCAGGGATTGCAAGGTTTGCCTTTCTTGCTGTGATTTGTGCCAAAGACTAATCACTTCCGGTAGGGTTAATTGTACATGTATATTATTCATACAGAGTTCTGTGAACGCTGCGTTGTTTCTATTTCCTATTTTATCATATAAGCCTAAGTTTAAAATCTAGCAATAATTAGTGCTTAAAACATTTCGTTCATTGCAATATTATGTCATTCATCATTTATTGTCAACTGGGTTATAAATAGATACTATTTTTGTTGTCAAATATCATATAATATTTTATATTATTTATTGCTGGTTATTTATTTATCCATTCATCGAATTGAGGGTGCCATATATTTAAAACTTTTGTATATTAAAAATATTGTGAATGTTTTTTGTTGATATTGTTGGTGTGTTGTATCCATATGCTTGTAAAGATGCATGTTCAACTAAAACAAGTCAGAACATAGAGTTAAATTATTTTTGAAGAAATTCATGGGCTTATAGTAATAACTGTTATTCAATATTTTAATAATAACCGCTCTTATGCAGTGTCAGACACAAATAATAATAAACATTTAAGGCACATTATGTTTATTTTTCAGCAATCAAGTTGAGCTAGACTATATTAGGCTATAACGGTGATTGACCAAATCACTGGTAGAGGACATGAATAAAAAAAACTACCTAGAAAATACAAAAGACTGTCTCACTGCTTTTATTGCGAACGATATGTACAAAAATTCCTTTAGTCATGTGAGGTTGAAAACGTTATGTTTTTCTGACTTACTTTTACACTTGAACTGGCATAATGTTACTTTGAAAAATACTCACCGCCAATTGAACCTAAGCGATAAAGCTGTAACTGGCAAAATATACAACAAAATTTCAAGTAGATCTACTGTACAATTTTTTATATATAAATATTTATTGAATTTTACCAAAAATGTCTAATAATTACTTTCCGCGCACCATGAATGAATAAAACATTTCCTTTTTAGTAGGCACGCCCGTTTAACTCACAACGAGTGAAAAATGTCCATCGGTAAAAATGTTGTGAGCAACTTCCGTTCCTCGTTGTGAGCACCCATCTATGACGTGTGACACGATAAACAAGGTGAGTTTTTCATAATTTTTGAAGATTACAGACATTTATGTAAAAATATTGGAATGCAGTTAGCTAGCGATGTGTTTTCCGAGTATGCACATGTAAAGATATTGCATGTTGGTGGACAATTTGATGGAAATATCGTGCGACGCAGTCACTCGGGGTAGCTGGAAAACTGGAGACAACTTCTCTTTGGACCTAATTTAAACATTGAAAACGTCGATCTGGTGACGTTTTTGGCATTCTAACCTAAAACAGATGCCACAAGTCTTCAGCGTAAATTATTATCTAAAAGTCTTCATAGAAACGAAGATATACCCTTTTTTGCTTTAATCCTCGTTGTGAGCACCATAACCTCGTTGTGAGCAAGACAAGCGCAGTGCGCATATGGTTTTAATATGTAATTCAGATGGTGAAAATATAATTTTCAATCTACCAAAGCAATTAAAACGTTTTTGCACAGCAGCATTTCTTTGCAAGACGTACGTTGTGCATACTCCAAAGGAGGCATATTAGTTTTGAACTGTCCGTCTGTCAGTCCGTCAATCCGTCCGAAAACTTTAACATTGGCCATAACTTCCTTATAAGTAAACGGATTTGATTCATATTCGAACACAACATCCCTTAGCACAAGACCTTCCTACTGACCTGTATTTTTTTTACCTTGACCCCCTGAATGGCCTTTACCTTGACGCTCAAATTGTCCAAAAACATTTAAGATTGGCCATAATGTCCTGGCATAATGTTTAGGCACAACACCTCTTTGGACAAGGCCTTCCAACTATCCTATATTCTTTTTGACCTTGACCCTGAATGACCTTCACCTTGAAGGTCAAATTTGTCCAAAAACTTAAAAATTGGTCAAAACTTCCTTATTAGTAAACGGATTATACTCATATTTTGACACAACAACCCTTTAGGCAAGACCTTCAAACTGGTTTGTATTTTTTTACCTTGTACCCTGAATGACCTTCTAGAACATCCAAAAACTTTAACATTGGCCATAACTTCTTTATTAGTAAGTGGAATTAATTCATATTTGGACACAATGCCCCTTTGGACAAGACCTTCCACCTTGAACTTGAATGACCTTCACATTGAAGATCTAATTGCCCAAAAACAAATAATCTATCTGGTCCATAAATCAAAGGACAAAGCACCACTTCGGGGGCATGGTCAACTTACCGTGACAGTTCTTGTTTTTACATACCTTGGTCAGTCTTCAGATTGTGAAATTGTTGAAATATTCATAAACGCCCCGTGATGTTCAATCGTGCCACACTAGAGTATACGAAATAAAATACCCGATTTACCTCCACTGATTAGTTCTTCTGTTAATCTGATGACTTGTGAATATGAAGAATAATTTTTCAAAAAAAACAAAAAAACAAAGAAGAACGATTGCAAAGAAAAACTATTGTACAAAAACGTTTTGATTGCTTTTTGTAGATTGAAAATTGTATTACATATTAAAACCAAACAAGCACTGCGCTTGTCTTGCTCACAACGAGGTTATGGTGCTCACAACGAGGATTAAAGCAAAAAAGGGTATATCTTCGTTTCTATGAAGACTTTCAGATAATAATTTACGCTGAAGACTTGTGGGCATCTGTTTTAGGTACGAATGCACAAAACGTCACCAGAATCGACTTTTTCAATGTTAAATTAGGTCCAAAGAGAAGTTGTCTCTAGTTTTCCAGCTACCCCGAGTGACTGCGTCGCACGGTATTTCCATGAAATTGTCCACCAACAGGCAATATCTTTACACGTGCATACTCGGAAAACACATCGCTAGCTAACTGCATTCCGATATTTTTACATTAATGTCTGTAATCTTCAAAAATTATGAAAAACTCACCTTGTTTATCGCGTTACACGTCACAGATGGGTGCTCACAACGAGGAACGGAAGTTGCTCACAACATTTTTACCGATGGACATTTTTCACTCGTTGTGAGTTAAACGGGCGTGGTAGGTGTACTGAAAATTTAACAAATCTTTGTATATATAAGGATAGATCTACTGACAAATATATTGTACCATAACACACCGTTATATTTAAGAACACCCATTGCATCAAAAGCTTACAGAAAGTTCATGGAAATATGCGCGTGTTTTCACTCCTAAGGTGTTCGACTTAGTCATATTCGTCAGAAATATTTGCATTCCAAGAACAGTAAGTCTATATGGTGTGTTACTTATTACTTCCCTTTACTAGTAGTTTTTGGATAATTTTTAATACATATTTTCAAATATGTAACAAAATATTTAAATTTGCAGACGAAATCTAACGTAAGTAAATTAGTTCTATTGTAAGATACGAAATAACTGCATTTTTTCATATCTAAAACTTTGCTAATTTTATTTATATTCGTGATTTATAAACACTATTCTGTGCAAAATGAGTAAAAAGGGCCTTTGATGTAATGTCATTCAGTGTCCTCACGGACATTGGGCGGAATCACCAGCAAGAGATTTCGGAGGCAAAATTTCTGTAGATTGTGGCAGCTGGTGCTCAGTAAGCCTGGCGCCCTGCAATAATAAAACATGAACAATACATACAAAAATTAAGGATACCATTTACCTGAACGTAAGTAAGTACATTTTAAGTAGACAAATCAAACAGTGAGGAACAAGTGAAAAGTCTGGTAAGATAAATAGAAATCGGTTCAAAATTTACCATACATTTACCTCTTGTGTACTGTAATGTATGGAAAGCCATGGCTGTCTGATATTGTTCTTTTCCAATTTATTGGCGTCCGCGCCGAAGCGCGGCGCCCTTATGAAATGAAATCAGATTTTGTGAAAGGGCGACAGCAACTTCTCGAGCCTTTTAGTCGGTCATAATAAAAGCTGATCATTCCGATCAGTATGAGGGTGCTTGATTATTAATTAAGAATGAAATGTCGCGATATGTTACAATGAATAGCGAACTGGTGAATTTCGCAATGCAAACATTTTCAAATTAAATAAGCTTTTCCGTCAATAAATCGCGCTCTTCGGGGTTTTTTATTTATCATTTTGTAGTGCACAGTGGGTTATCATGGTATGTTATTGTTGTACATGTCAGTTGCTGACCTCAATAGTCCGAAAATCTATTTATAGATATATCTATTTATCACTCCTGTCGGTAATTCTCGGTCTCTCCCGGTCTATTTTGACCGGGATTTACTAGTGACCGGCGAATAGTACCACACGTTTATTGTCCGGTCTCTCCCGGTTTTGGATTAGATGTTTGATATCGTTACAATTAAAAAACAAAAAACAACAACAATAGCATGTTTCATTTTATCTAACAATAAATATGTACAATAATTGAGAAAAAGGTACATTTTTATGGTATTAATATGACATTATCAACTTTGAAACATTTTATTTAATTTGTTATCCGTGTTTAGTAAAGATGCCGAGGAATTATTCAAAGTTACAAATTAGATTTATGAATTATTCATTTGATTGATAATTTAAAAAATTAAAAAGAAAAATGCAAATGTACATGTACATGGTTTAAGAATAAACAATATTATATATTAAAAGATAAACCATAATTTACTGACTTTTTCCAGTTAAGTTTTGACTTATAATCGTCTGTCAATATGTCAATTGAATTCTTAAAATTTATTTTACAATTTTAATAAAAAAAGAGTAGTAAAAACTCAATATTAAAATAGCACATAAAACACACAAAAAAAAAAAAAAAGAAAACAATATTCATAAAATTTGTATTTTTTTTTATTAAAATTAATAGATATTACAATTATTGTATAATTAACAATTATGCTCAACATGATCAACATGGTAATATAACCAGTGTCATATGAACAGATACCTTAAGAGGGGGTCTTCGCTAATAGCGATAACATAATAAGGGACAATTACTTAAACGTGTTGGTCATGCGTTACACATATGGATTATAATTGATTGTATACATGTATATTCGTTGCTATTAATAACCATGATCATAAAGTAATAACAAGTAATATTCTAATCTCTAGCATGCCAATCAAAGTTCATAATGAACAATGTTTTTCGTCCGCTCATTCAGAAGTGATCTACATTTCTGGTAGTTTATAAGAATATATTGTCATCATATGTCTACTAGTTCATCTTCACTTGCTGCATTTCTTGCTTGGACGCCCTTTGATGCTTTGCATCAATGCTTTTCTTGTTTAACCATTTGAATAATATATAAGTTCACTTCGAGTATATATGACTTGAAAACACCTTCTTATTTAACCGGAATCCATTATATTAATCCACAGTTACAATATATGAAACCATACCGTCAGTGTATGAAACCGAGTTAGCAATATATAAGTTGATTTTCTCAACATATGATTCCAATTCTTCAATATATTGTACCAAAGTAGCCATGCATGGAACCAGATATCATTATATGCAACCGAATTATCAATATATTAATTCATTTTTACAATATATGAAACCATTTTATCAATGTATGGAGCCGAAGTATCAGTATAAGTTGATTATCACAATATATGATACCAATTATTCAATATACGGCATAACTTTTTTAATAATCAAGCAATTAACATGCGGTTTAAAGCACATGAAAGGGAATTCATTTACGGAGGGAACCGTGTCAGGGATTTTTGTTTGCTCAATCAGCGACTTAATTATCTTTAATTACGTAATATGCATGGTGAAAAAAGTCGCATAAATTGTTTGACGTTACGTAATATTTTTTTGAGAGAAGATAGAAAAAATTTGAGACACGGTTCTCCAGATATTATACAAATATACAAAATTTTATTCAGCAAGAAGATTAATTATTATGTGTGATATCTAGATGCATAATAATTTATAGACCATGAGACAGTGATAAATAGATAAGGCCGTTTCCACCACATTTTAATTATCATATTCGTTTTAATTTTGAAATAAAGTTGGTAAAAACACGTATACATTGGATGCAACGGGCACCCGCAAAATTTCTATCCAGTCCGCGCGACAAACTTGTCGAAATAGGTCAACACAAAAACTTGCAGAATTTTCAAGAAAATCGGATTGACCTCCTTATTCAGATAGAAGAAATTTTAGACCAATGAGAACAAAGGAGGCAATCCTCTCTAAACCAATCAAAATTAACTTTATAAAGCGGGTGTTCGGTAGAACTTACAAAATTTACAAAATTTAAAACAAACTCTGCTAATTACAAACATGTAATTAATTATATGCATCCCAATGTATACGGTTTATAACATGTAAATAGAAACCAACATAAACAACAGTCAGCCCACATTGAATTGGTCAGAATACGTTCCTGACATGCCTTCTCGCACATTAGATGCGAACTCTACAATTATAGGTAAATTTCTAAAAACTTTTTAGTTATATAAAATAAATATTAGTCCTGTTATAAAAGACGGTACTCTATATAAACGTCTTGGCCGATTTTAAATCAAGTGCTTTTAATTAATAAATTTTAGATTTCTCAAACTTAGTATGGGACTGCCCCATCTTCCTCCCATGGCAAAGGTTGTACGTAGAGACAACCCTGTCATGGGGGATATGGTATGCACATAAACACATGTACGGATATAATAACAAGTATAATAAACATCAGATCCCCATTTTTTCTAATGATTATAAATGAAGTATATGCTCGCCCATATGGTCTCTTTCCGGTGGCGAGGGTAAACAAACGCAAACACACACACAATTATTCAGCATAAAACATAAACATATGTTTAGAGCCAATACAAACAAAAATGTTCAGCGACAGACATGACAAAAGAAATGAAATTTTATCCGAAGAGAGTAGTTCAAATTACATAAACAATTCTCACAAACTGTCTAGATATACAAAAAAATACTAAATATATTGTTACATATATATATTAAAAAAAGTTCTAGTTATTAAGGAAAAAATAGAGTTAGTAATAAAGATATTTAAATTTAGAGAGTGTATTATGAGATGCGGTTTTTCATTGCAAAACAATATATTTTGCTAAGTTCAGTAGAACAGATTTAGATTTTGATGACATTAATTTTTCGAATTTAGTGATATTTGGCCAACGACAATAACATTGTTTAAAAATTTTACTTCTTAAGTCACGGTGAAATGGACATACTAGCAAAAAATGGTACTCATTTTCAATGGTTTTGATATTGCACGATTTGCAGAGTCTCTGTTCTCGTGGAGTATCATTATATCTTCCAGATTCTATAAAAAGATTATGTGATGAATTTCAAAATCTTGACATAGCAATTTTATATTTCTTATCAGTAATCACTTTCAGATATTCTTCTAATTCGAATTCATACTTAAAGACACAATATGACTGTAAACGATTGGAGTTTTTGATATCAGAGTACCATTTTTGTAAAAAGTTATCAATAATTCTCTGTTTAATCAATGAAAAAGGAATATCGATTTCAAATTGATCATTCCATACATACAATAAACCACGTTCTTGTAAAATATTTTTTATTTGAAAAACCCAATTTTTCCCATTATATTTTAAATTACGATCTGCATCTACTTTTAAAATTAAATAGCTATTAGCTATTATAAGTATGTTTTTTTTCCAAAAGTTTGATAACAAAACAATAAAAAATGACTTTGATATGACGATTTAAAATTTTAGGATTTTTATTAAAAATCAATCATTTACAAAGGCATTTTTTTCAAATATGTTATTTTTTATGATGATCAGCGACATTTAATGCACATAGATTAAATAAATAACAATTATTACTAAAATAAGTTGGTTAAAATGACATCTATGTGAGTACCACGGAAAGTGTCTGTTGTCACCTTAAGTACATTTTTCTCAATATTCATTTTTTTGAAATATTTTGGCTCATCTGCTTTAAAGGAATCCACTGAGGTCCAAAAGCCTAAAAACATAAGATTTGAATTTCTTGCAGAGATCAAATGAGACACGTAAAACAGAAAGGTATGTGAAAGATTGTTAAGGAATACATGCAGAAATTAATTGAAAATTGAGATTGTGTGCTATTTATCCGATTTGAGAGAAATAACCCGATTTGAGAGAAAAGCGTCTCAATTTAAACGCTTTTCAATTTTACGTCGTTTTCACAATTAGAATAATAATTCTGAAAAAACAGAGTGAGCGAATGGCACAAGTTTTTGGTTTAGACCTACATTAAATTGAACATGAATATATAAAAAAAAATTTCAGTCATGTCATAAACCACAGTTAAACTGACTCCATTCGTTTTTAATGAAAATACAGCTTTATATCAAAGCAATGCATGTAACTTAAAGTTTTCTATATCCATTGCATTTATGGTATACATAAACAGCATTTTAACAAAGTTGCTATCAACATTGCTCCTTTGAAAGGTATACACAGTCGCGATATATCACGATATATCATCATTCATCACAAAGCTATAATTATTAATCTGTAATAGACGACAACGATAGTCGAGATTTTAGTGGTTTTAACTTTAGCCTATATCATCGCGTGGGTCAGCCATTTTCCATCATTTTACGTCGCAGAAAAAGAAACTGTAATATCTTGGGTAAGGGGGCATTTTGTTGCTTAAAAAATTGTTAAGATATAATTTTAAAAATTGATGACTATAGAATAAGCTTGCGTTGCACATCTGCTTATATGTGCATACGATAATCGATTTGAGGAAGAATTATATATTTAGTGGGCTCGACAAAGGAAAATAACATGGCTGCCAGGATGGACAAATTTTATTTCATGAATATAGCGATGATATATTGCATCCTAACTCTCTGGCTGACATTGCATTTAAGAGCCACATTTTAAATGCCTAAGAAGGCGATATTGTTGTTATTTCAATCAAACTAATCCTGTTAAATAGAGATTAAAAGCTTGAACTCGCATTATGATAATTTATGCAGTTCGGCCAATTTTGAATTTATTAAAAATTGATACAGCATAAGTTTTTTAGACATAATGAATTAATGAGCCTCTAAGTCGTCATACTCTTAGAATTGGTAGGTAGATAGGTATTATTAAGAAAAATTTTTTCTTAAAAAAAAATAAAATGTAATGTGGAGATCTATAGAAAATCTAGATCATGACGAGCCATGACGATAAAATGATAGATTATTCTCTCCCTTATAAGTAAGATCCTCCTGACGGTTCTCCCCCAAACCCTTACCCTGGCAAGTCTCTCCCTAAATAAGTTAATCACAGGCATTAGGCACATTTGCTTTGCCAATAATGATCAAATTATCTCCCTTGATCATTAAGATCCAGTACCTGTTTATGAAATATATACAAGGTATATAAGCACGGATTTATATTACAGGGATCGGACACTCCCAGTTAACCCTATATAAATGCTTTAATATCTTGTCGTGCGCCCGATAAAGGTACATCGATCGATAATTTACCGGCGCTAAGCGTAAATGTCCGTTTGCAACGGATACCTACTTTACAAAATACCATATAACTTTTCCATTTATTATCCGATTTTGGAAATTTAAAGTTAATTTTGAAGAAAAATACTTGTTTAATTCAAATATCTAATTTATTTTTAAAGGTACAGTTTTATCTGTCCGCAACGACGGTTAAAAAATTAACTTGACGAAATCCGCGGTAAATTTACATTTTTTATATAAAAAGCAGGTATTTGAAATTTATTATTACGGTACCATAATACTTTCAGTTTCAAAACAAAAAAGAAGCCGATGTAAGTTATTCACAGATGATCAAAGATGCAATATTTAAGATTTATTGGGATATGCAGTCAAATTTATTAACGCACAATTGTTTTACGGGTAATGTATTGCGGCCTTTACACATGAAGAAAATTAATTCATTTTTTAGTACAAAATATTGCCGAGATTGTCGATATTGCCATATTCATAGAATATTTAAATTTCATTCATCATTTATATCATTATTAGTTTTTGTAAATCTGTTTTCAAATGTCGGTGCAGTGAAGTAGACAATCATCGTAACAGTAAAGTTCTCTCGTGTGGCTGTCTCGATTCCGGCCTTTTTAATGTCACTCGTATATTTTAATCCGTATATTTTAATTATTCTTTTTTATTTGATTGCCTGTAGAAAGATATTTATGATACTTTTTAATGTAACGCTAGAAAAACAATAAAAATCTTTACAGTTTGAGCCAGTATTTTGCGAAATAAAAGTAACTGTTGATTACTTTTTACACATCGCTTAAATTTCTTTCAAGTTTAATTACTTTTGAAGGGGGGTAAGTGATAATTAAAAAACTTTATTTCCAAACTTTCATTACCAGGTTACATGTGATAATTGCAACACTCAATCTTCAAAAACAAATAGAATTTGAATGTATATATTGTATATGCGCGGTCTTTAACTACAGTCCATGGCATAATTATATGTGGTTAGAAAATGAATACAGTGTTAATCTATTTTCTTTATTAAAATTTATAAATGAAATTGAAAATATACAACTAAATTTGTATAGTCCTTTCTCTGAAAAATAATGAAAATAAACATGTGATTAATAAATCATTTGACCTGAATTGTTAAGGATAACCATGAAAAAATTATGTTTCAAAACAAAAAATAATATTATAAAACAGCTGTTCTCTATGCCAATAAAAGTTTCTTCCTTGCCAATCTAATGAATTCATCTATAGGAATGCTTGTCTAGAATGGTCTGAAAATATATTTAATACACTAATAAGTAGAATATTTACTATATTTATACTAATATACAGGTAATCAAATAAAAAATGTACAAATCATTTGGAAATAATTCACAGAAATAAAGACACATTTCAAACATAAATTTCTTTAAAAGTTTTTTAGCAATCAAGAAACATTTTTTTTGCAATGCCATCATTAAACCATGTAAAAAATAATTATCTTATTCTGAATCGCGGTAATAATTCGTGCTTGAAGTAAAAGGGCGGCGAAGTGTAGAGAGTATGCCTAAACAATAGGCGAATATTTTTTAAATTAGGTACTTTTTAACTAAGCGTTGCAGCGTTCTATCAGCATATTTTCATATATTAATACTTTAGCGACACAAAATAATACTGCATCAATACATTCACATGTGTATAATATTTCACAAAGCTGCAATAACACCACATACTCCGGTGAAAATATGTCATATTTCGTACTCCGCGCGTTCCGCCATCTCATTCTGTCCACCTTTATCCGATTCCGCGCATGCGCGCGACGGGACTTTAAGCTAAACGAAAGTGTCCGATCCTTGTAATATAAATCCGTGATATAAGTTATAACTCACGGTATCGAAATTCTGTGACACAACCAAAATTTTGCTCTTGCATTTAAATTTTTGAATAAATTAGACATAATTTCATTCTTATACATGCAAACATAGCACAATAGAAATATCTTTCAGTAACCGTTTAAATAATGAGCCATCTATCTTCATTTATGATAAATTATTTAAATTGAAAAATTACCGTAACATTACGAGGTTGACATGTATTGTGCCATCCACTACGAGTAAACATACATTTAGCTGCTTGTCAGTCGTAAGAAAGTATTGACATTGAATTCCTACTGAATTATGCTTTTTGTTGACAGTTTATGTCTATAAATTATGCATTTTAAACTCAATTTCATTACATTATTTTTTTATGTACATATTTCCACCTTTATTTCACGCACATTGAAGTAGCCAATGAAAACTTTCCATTTCTTAAGTATAGAAAGCAACATGGTGGACAAGTTTGACTGCCATGTAGATCTACCCGCATAATGGTGTTAGGGAAAAGCATATTATGTAGAAATTTGTTTTAACTTACTAGAAATAGCATGCACTGAAATATGGATGGTTGAGTCTTGTACATACAATGTTTAAACAATGGCATTATTTGCAGTAAGACTAGAAGAATAAAGCTTGAATTTTCAACTCTTTGCAAAGAAGATTCTAAGTTGCATTAGAGTGCTATGATAAATATTTATTTGAAACGGATGCTGATTACGTTTGGTGCTTTTTGACTTCTTTACTGACTTCTTTACTGTAGTAACTGTGTTATCCATTTAAACAAACAAACTTTCATTTTTAAGGCTTGCTTTAATCAACCATCATCATGTCATACCGAGGAGGACGTGGAGGAGGTAGAGGTGGTGGTGGTGGTGGAGGGAAGAAACCATACACAGTATCAACAAAGCTTTATATTGGAAACATACCCGAAACATGCAGAAGAATGGACTTGCAGAAATTGTTTGAAAACTATGGCAAAGTTGTTGAATGTGACATTGTGAAAAATTATGGGTTTGTGGTAAGTTTTGTTTTCAGACATTCTGTTGAAAGTGGTTTTGAAGATTAGATTAATTATCTTGTAAAGTTTGAAGAGCAAGAGCAAATTTGTTGTATCAAAAAGTAACCAGTCCAAACCAAAGGGAAAACTAGTACAAGTTGTTAGTGTGAGCCTTGATGATGGTAAGGTTCAAATTAAATATTGGTCATTTAGGGTGATGAAGAAGGCTAACGAGGCCCTCGATTTACCAATGTTGCAGCTGATTGCAGTCCCCACCAAGAAATGAAGAATAGTATGTTTTTAGCCATCTAACAGAGGTTAAAATTCCCCCTGAAAACATATAAAATCTAATAGAAATAATTGAAAAGTATATCCTTTTGCTATTTCTTCAAAAGAGAATTGAATGCTATCATTATTGTTTAACTACGATATCAAATTAATGTTATTAATACCTTGTTTTTTTCTTTTGTTAAGCATTATGAAAATGAAGACGAAGCTAAGCAAGCAACTGCAGAATTGAACAACACAGAATTTGAGGGCTCAATATTGTCAGTTGAGGTAAGCAGTTTTAACATAACTTCTACATAACTTCTGTATTTATTGTCTATCTAGATAAATGAACATGATGAAATACATCAGAAATCTTATGAAGTTTGAATATCAGATGCTTAAAATTCTTAATAAGTAACATGCTGATCTTGATATTTGATAGTTTAGACTTATTGTCAATTTATTGATGTATTGATATAAAATCTTCAGCTGTCACACAGTCGAGTACGGCACAAGCCTGGGATGGGAGGAAAACAGGAATGTTACAGATGTGGAAAAGAAGGTCACTGGTAAGTGACTGTGTTCATAATTGAACTTTGTTGCTAATATGATTGTCTAAAAACATAGCTTGCTACCATTGCGAGAAGTACAGACCAGGATCAGGTTGTACATTTGTGCTGTCTGATCATGGTCTGCACTATTGGCTATTTAGCCAGTACATGTTGAAAATTTTCTAAAACCGAGTACATGATTTTGTCCAGATTGCATGGAAAGGGTCAAAAGACGTATCATCAATGCGGACATTTGCATTTGTATTTTAATATTCAAATTTGTTTTTGAAAATGACGAAGTGTTTAGATCAGCTTGAATGAACACAATTTGATTTTGTTTTCAGGTCTAAAGATTGTCCAAAGGGACCGTAAGTAGTACATCTTATTAACATTTAGATATTTTTTAAAATCTAAAATTTTATAAACATGTATGATCAAGTGTTTCGGTTGCTATCTGGTAGTAATTTTCACCTAAATGATAGAGCCTGTTGGACTGACTATTTGAAGGTTAGCCTGTTGGATTGACCTTTGGTTCAATATAGATTTTAGCTCGACTTTAATGAATGTGCTTATAGAAATATTGTTCATTGTTTCCTTCTTTCATTCTTTGTTTCTGTGTTTGTATGACTTATTTCACCTTGAAGACGGCAATTATCACGGATTTAGAAGATTTAGGAAATAGTTCAATAATTTTGTGCTTTCTAATGAATTTATTGTGTTAAACCTTCACAATATGTTACAGAAGCCGACCAAAAGGTTATTCTGATCGCGGACCAGATCCCTATGACTACTACAGGGACAGATATCCACCCCCACCACCCCCAGACCGTTTCAGACCCTACCCAGATCCCTATGACAGGAGACCCCCATTGCCTAGAGATCCATATGCAGCCTACCCAAGAGAGAGAGATCCTTACGCAAGACCACCACCAGAGTACTATGGCAGAAGGTATAGTCATTGTTTAAATCTACATCTTTATTGATTGATAACATACAGTCTTTCATAAAGAACTTTTGTAGTGTTTTCTACAGGAATGTATTTAAGTATTTAATTATTTATCACCTGTTACATGTAAAGATGAGATACATATATAGAAGAAATGGATGTTTATTTTCAGAACTGATGTTTTGAAAGAGCAGAACAGGAACTTTTATATTTGTTCTATAATTACTTTTCTTATTTATAAGTCTAAAGTTTTGTTGTTGTGGCACATTGAATATAATTGATTAGGTTAAATTTATTTGTTGATTTTCAATGCTTCTATATTCCGACAACATTTATGTAAGGGTTTTCAAATTTGAATTGTTAAAATAAAACAGCAAATGCTTAGTAGAGTTTTGTCACAACGATAGATGTGCTAACATATTATTGATAAAAATGATTATTTTTGTAATGGCTCATAGGAATTGATTTGATGTTTTATTTCATATTTCAGAGACCCATATGCTGCATATGACAGAAGGTCAGCGTAAGTCTTTGCTCAAAATTATTCTCTTTTATAGACCTGAAAGTTTTCTGATAGAAATATGGTCACTCTGTATTTTGGTGCCAATTTTCTGTATTCAATAATTTATATTTGCCTTAAGTCTGTATAGACTTCATACATTTACATATTTTATAGAAGGTATAACTATATGATAAAAGTCAAACTAGATTGGGCAAGCTATTAAAATGGATTGCAGCTGATTGCACATCCTAGATAGGTTCTGATATTCATTGAGTGAATACTTAATTTATTTCAATTTTAGCGCATATTAATTTTATGAAATGTTTAATATAACCATGTTTTAAGTACAAGCTGTAATAATTGATTTTCCATCTTATGTTTTGCAGGGACCCATATTTGGATGATTACTACAGAAGGTCTTCAGCAAGGTATCTGATCCTTTTCTAGTTATGTGAAAAATGTTGAATTTAGGAGATTGAGAATGATTTATAATAGCTGCTCGAAAGAGAGAGAGAAAGAAACGCTTTACAAAAGAATATTGTAAATCGCTGCTATGAGGCTATGTCACGGTCTGTGAAAGACATGTCTGTAACGGTTAAGCTTAAAGGCACTTAAAAAGCATGCTATACTAGCTAAGGCTCTCATGTTTTCATATTTTGTAGATGTTTACTTGTCAATGCAAAGCAATATTGTGTTAAGGACACACAAGATTTTCGCATTTCAAGTTGAAATAATTGTCTTTAAATTTTTAAAAATGACAATTAAAAAAAAATTGTAGAATGTTGCCTGATTAATAAGAAATCTATTATTTCCTTTAAAACTTTTGGGGTGATTATTAATTAAAATATTCCTTTCCAAAGCAAATAATAGTTTTGGTATTTTATTTGAATGAATTTTTCCAACAAAGAGATGGAAAATCCTTTTTTGTTGCATGTATTTGCAGTTAGCAGAAACTGACATCGTTTTACATTGATATTTATGACTTGTGACACATTTTACCCTTATCAGTGTATCCAAATGCTGCAAACAAGACTTATAATTTATATATGCATAATCAGTTGTTTTGTTTAGCCTGTATATTAAATAATTCCCCTTGACCTCTGGCCAAATCAGTTGTTTTTTTGTAAGCACATCTGTTGCTTTTGATAAAAAATGAAAACCCAGTGTGAACATTAGTAAACAGTACAAGGAAAATAAGATTCAAGAAAACATGTGAGCCTTGTTGCTAGTTACTTTCATCTCAAATCACTGAGTTATTTCAATTCGTTGATTAACTATGACTGATGATTCAAATATTTATGACTTGCTATTGTAAACACTTGATGTAACTAGATAATTTAATTTTCTGACAGCTACTTGCCGCCGCCTCCGGGTACGAGATTGTCACCAACGCCTCGAGCCCGCGTAGCTCCATATTAACGAGAGCGCAGAAGTCGGGACGCGAAGATCAGAGATGATCGACATTCAACACACTTGTTAACTAGAAGTATCGTGAAAATTTGGAGACAGAACGATTCGTTAGACTTTAAAAGTCTTAATACGTGCAAATGAAGACTCAGTGTTTATATGTTTTTTTTACATTGTCATCGTGGTTTTATATTTTAATTTCATTTCGTCTTTATGAACAATCATGCGTGTTTATATTAATCATTTTGTACTTTTAATTTTGTGCGGGAATAATATAGTATCAGTTATTTCGCAAGTCAGTACTGCTTCGTTAGTTCTTTTATGAAACTTTATGTTATTGGATCTTGTATGTAAACGTGTTGGTTTCAAATAAAGAGATTACCCATGTCAAACAAACGCTTTACTTTCATCAATATGATGTATTGCTTGTAAACTCAGAAAATTGCTTAGACATTAAGCCTTTTAAATGCGAGTCCTCACAAATTGATATGCACAAAGAAAAAAGATAAGCACAAAGACCGAAAAGAAAGTCGAAGTTGCATATTGAGCTAGGTTTTATTTACCTACTTGCAGTATCTGTTTCCTTTGATAAAAAAATATGTCTGATGGAGATGAAAACACTGATGTTGTTAGGCAATTAATTTGGTTGAAATTCAAAAAAAAAAAAGTGAAAAATGTTCCTTCAATTTGACATGCTGTGGATGAACATGTTATTTCATTGAAGTTGCAGTAAACTTTTTTATTACTTACATCTAAAAAGGCAGTTTTAACTTTGTTGAGATGTAAAGTATAAATCAAGAAATTTGCGGAGATGAAATATTCGAAGAATAAACCAGAAGAGAATCGGTAAGGGCTTACATAGAATGATCCTAGAAGATGACGGGACCGTTGGGCATTCGCGACGGACTTGTCGTCGTAATGACTCGTGTGCGTCGAGTTAAAGCAGTGTAATTTTAACACAATTTTGAATAACGCATTCTTTAAAATAGTTTTATTAAATGCTAAAATATTAATTAATCAATGAGAATATTAAATTTTTTTTTTCTTTTTAAATTGTATAAAGATATATTTAGAATTTTACATAAATGGAGTATTAAATTTATATAATCTTTGCTTTTGGAATATTACTTGGAAAGATTATGATTTAGGTTGTTTGAGGTGTGGAAATGTATTGTTAAGTAATTGCAATTTTTTCTAATAAAGGTGATTATCCAATGGGTAACAGTCCTCAAGGAAATTGTGTGATCCTATTGGGCATTACCAACTGTAAAGGAAAACATGTAATCCTTTGACAATGTATGTCAGTTTGAATAAGGTAAGCATAAATGTGTTAACAGCTTATGACTACTTACAGTAATTACATTACAAGTCTTAATTTTGAGCTGTTTGTTAACATGTTGCATGGAGCTTCATTTCATATTACCTATTGCAGGTATTAATTTAATATTCACATCTAAGACCTAAAACTTAAGGTAGTTTAAAGTTCTAGGTTAGCATACAAATTCTATGTCTCTCTGAAGGTATTCAATTGAAAATTTATACATGTACATGTTTTTTAAGAAACATTAAAGGAACTGCTTAACTCAACATGGGTTGGGAGTGAGCAAAGAAACTGGAACTCGTAAAATTGAACGTAAATTTATATTGGCAATTACAACAAGTTGATAATAACTTGATATATATCTTATTTTACCTTTAAGGTGGAAAACTGATAATGAAGGGGGAAGGCAGGAGCATTGTACGAGGAGTATAGACAGTTAACACAGATGTTCTTGGTCAGTTCTCCTACTATAACTTTCAGAAGTCATTTTAAAATGTTCTAAACTTTGCCACTAAGTCTTTGACAACACCTTGTTTTAATATGCCAAAATGATATTAAGTAAAAATTGAGCAGACTTGCCAGATTACTGGCTTTTTATGGTCTAATGCTTAGTCCTCATAGTACATGTATATGAAATGCAATGTACTGCTTCATGTTTTACAAATAAATTCTAAATTTACATCACATTAAACCTGCATGGGAACTGTAGTATATTACTTAGAAAACCAGTGTTTTTTTTATTTACAGAAATTTAGTTTCAGGATGGTGGACGTGTCATTGTATAACAAGAGATTTAAGAGAGTACTTGCAAGGGGAGCAGAAGAGTTATTGTTTTGTTAAAACATGATTTAAATAAATTTATAGCTGGATTGAATATTGTTGTCTTTTAGTAGTGTACTTATATTTTGTCTCTAAATAAGTTGATAACTACATGGGAAGAATGTTGGAAGTATTTCAAACACAAATGAAGAGAAAAAATCTTCATTGCAGTATTTCGATAACAATCCAGCACTTCGGAAGAACCACTGACCTAATTAAAGCTTACATGATAAAATTGCAACAAGTCAGCATTGAGAGCAATTACTATTGGTAACAGATAAGAGACCACTCGGCTGTATAGGTTCCTTTTAACAGTTTAAAGGATAGGGACTGTCGATAGAGAATGTTGTCAGAATGTATTGAAATTGCTCAAGAAAAAGTCATTTCAGTTATATTAACATTACTGACTTACAGAATTGAATCAAGATTTTTGATATTATGCTCCTGATTGATTGAATACTGATAGCCTATGTTACCAGTGTCTAGCTACAATACACTAGATTGGCTGCAGGAAATATCTTAATATCTGAATCTGGCAGACTGAACCATCATCAACCATGTTAGATGCACAAGGTCAAGGTGATGACTGTGTTAACAGTCAAAGATTTGAGACCCTGGGTCCCTTAAATGCTCGAGACAGTACATATTTCAGAAAAAAATCATAAATGCTTGCTTAGGACAAATATTTTCTATGTCCTGCTTGTATAATGGTCTTATGTAAGTAACTTCTTAATTCAATGCAGAAAATTTTAAAGATGTATTTGGGTAAGACGTAATGACAATAAATTCAAAACCAAGATTGACCTTCTTTCACCATAACTATCCAGTTATTACCAATTTCTGTGCAAGTGATCAATTACTAATCCTACACAAGTTCTGAATGAACATCGGATCAATTGTAACCAAAATTTTGTTTGACATGAGAATTTAACCATTTTCCCAAGGTACTCTTCTTATTGAGATTATTAAAGGACTATTCAATGCCAGACCCATTCGCTTATTAGGATTTTATCTCTTCTAGTGAAGCTTTTTCTCTCTGATGCAAGTGCTTGCATTTAAGTAATATTTAAGTTGGAAGACCGCTGTAACTGCTAGGAACTATTTATTTGGACCAAATGTGAGTGAGAACTACCAAAGAAGATAGATAATTAAAGATACATGTTAATAATGAATAAGTTTGGTAATGATCTTGTACAAAAATGTCTTGTAACCCAGTAGAAGATAAACTTAAATGAGAAAAAAAAAGCAAGGGTGCTACTGAACAATTTTATTAAAGTTATTCTATATAACCAGTGGTTACAAATATATTTTAAGTTGGTAAATATATAAGTATTAACATAGGAAAACATGATGACATTCATTTAAGCCCTTCTGTGAAACAAGTTCATTCAAATTTTATAAATCACTCGAGTCCTCTTTCTAGCATTAAATCTAGCATCAAATTAACCATTCACTGACTTGAGATGTGGACACCTTGATAAAAGATAAAACCTAAGAAAGTTATCAATACACTTTATTTATCTATTTAACAATAATTTCAAGAAGCTTCTAGCTGTTCCTGGTCTTCAGTTGGTGGTACCAAATTTTCGGGGAATTTCTCAAGACGATGCTGAAATGTATTTTAATAATAGGAATATAATTATATATTATTACCTTGGCAAGGTTTATGAGAAAGGATTTTAAGGGACTCCACTGAGGTGACATGATGGGACTGGAAATAAGTTTCCAAGATTCTATACCATTTGATGTTGCACTATACCAAGAATTTGTATGCAAGATTTCAGATCATTTACTCGCACTAATTTTACCAAGTAAACATGGAGCTAAATGAGATTAAAACTAGAAATGTGTCAAAAGGACATGGGTTTCCCCACATTCCACAGTTTTGTCAATCTACTGACTGTAGGTCAAATATTTTGGGCTGCACATGACACAAGTTGAAAATTGAAAATCTTTTGCTAAGTCAATGACAAAAACTCTACAAATACTGAATAAATCCACAAGCAAACCCAAAGGTGCATAACTAAACATGCTGACCAACATTCTTGTATACTTTCAGGCAGGCTTTCTACTGGTCCCTACTTTTCCTACTTTTCCCTACTTTTTTCTTTTGATCCCTACTTTGCCCTACTTTTTTCTGAAATAGCCCTATTATCCCTACTTTTTCATTTTGAAATGAAATGAAAAAAAAGAAGATATTTAAAATGGTATTTCAGTAGTATTTTCAGTTGCAATTGATGAGTAGTTCAGGTGTGTGTGTGTGTATCTCCTTGTGATGTCCATCCTTGAAAGACTCATGGTGCCTTCGCAAAACATTCAGCAACATTCTGGCTATGAGGTAAATACATGAAACCATACTGATTGTTTAAATAACTACTATTTTATAATTTCCATGTTCCTCTTGTAAATGAATGCATGCTTCAGTCTCAGGTTTGACACTGCCAAGTGCTTATTAATGTCTAAATTAGGTTTATAAATATTCCCAATAATGCATTAGCTGAGGGATTCCACAGTTGCCATGCTGTACTGATTCAAAAGAACATATTTTTTTATTGGTTTCATTTGTGTTTGTGTTATTTTCCCCATGTCTATTAGACCATATATGTACATGTTACTTGAATTTTAAAACAAAGTCATCAATCAAAAAATTTACAAGGTTTAAATAAAACATTGAAATGTGATTAAAGCATTGGCAGCTGTGGGTATCAAACACTGCATTGACCAATTGCTCTTGTGTCTGAGTAGAGTTGCAGCAGTGTGACTTATCAATTTAGATTCCAAGCTTTTAATTGTCACTTAACAAAAATCTAACATGTGCAAATACCTTGGTATTGCTTCATCACTATCCATCAGATGGTTGTGCATTTTGTCAACATGATATAATGTTAACCTTAATCATGAAAATGACAGGTCTTAAAAATTCAAATCATTTCATTGTCATGTTGACAATAATGCACAACAATCTGGTAGCAAGCTTGGGTTAGGCTTGTTTCTCAGCTAGATTGTATTTACAAGTGTAACTATGGCAGTGTACTAAAGGATGCATACATGTAACCTACTTGTACCTCTTGTTGTAGTTAGATTGTTCCTTAAAATACTACACTGTGGCATGTTTGACATCACCTTTGCCCTTTTAATATATTATAATTTTATGCAACATATTAACATGAATATACATCAGTTTAACCTACATGTACATGTAGCTCTTACATTAACATGCAGTCCTGTTCATATAGCTTTTAGTGTACATCCTGGTGTTGGTATTCACAGCTTGTTTGCATTTACCTTGACTATGTAATAGACTAGGATCTAGTAGCTCTCGCCTTACTAATGTGAATATTCTTAAAACTATGTGCTAGATATACTCATTGTATGTTTGTTTTGCTGATTATATTTGTCCTTATCATTGTAAATAACATTTTGTATTGGTGCACTTGTATTTAAAGAGAAATAAAAAAACAATTTCAGGTGCCTGTCTTTCAAGCATGGACTGAACTGAAGATACACACAGCCTGATGTGGTCTTGGTGATGGTAAGTCTTAACCAAAACGGTAAGAAATTCCTACTTTATCCCTACTTTTTAACATCAGAAATCCCTACTTTGCCCTACTTTTTGGTAAAAAAAAAAGCCCTACTTTTTCCCTAGTTTTTTTGGCAGAGGCAGTAGAAAGCCTGTTCAGGACTACAGGTCAAATATTTTTTGAGCTATGCATGAACAAGTCTATAACTTATACTAAGTCAAGGTCAATAACTCTTACAAAACAAATCTACATGCAAAACTCCAGGTACACAGCTTCACAGTGATGTTGATCATCATTCCTGTAAAGTTGGTTGATTCTTACTCAAACACTCAAGGTACACATAACAGAACATTTTGGAATGGTTTTTACTAAGTCAAGGGCAATACATCTACAAATACTGAACCAAATTCACAATCAAACCCCCAGGTGCACAACTACATATGCCAACCTCTATTTCTGTAGTTTCATGACTAGGTCAAATACTTTTTGAGATATATACCACACAAGTTGAAAATTTTTACTAAGTCAAGGGCAATAACATGACACAAGTTGAAAATTGAAAATCTTTTGCTAAGTCTATGACAAAAACTCCACAACCGAAACCCCTGGTGCACAACTACACATGCTGACCACCATACCTATAAAGTTTCATGTCTCTAGGTCAAATACTTTTTGAGCTGCGCACAACACAAATTGAAAATTGCAAATTTACTTTTGTTTGTTTGATTGGGTTTTATGTCACACCGACACAGTAAAGGTCATTTGGCGATATTCCAGGTTTACTGGTGAAGTAAGACCACAGGTGTCCTTCTATGCATTATTTTAGGCATGAACGGGCACCTGAGTAGAACCACCGAACTTCTGTAAGCTGGCTGGATAGCTTCGTCACATGAAAGAATCTGTCGGGATTTGAACCAACAGCGTTGAGGGGCAAGTGGTTTGAAGTCAACTACCATAATCACTCAGCCAAGAATGCCCCATAAATTTTTACTAAGTCAGGGGCAATAACTCTGACAAAACAGAATCAATCCACAAGCGAAAAATCAGGTGCACAACTTCACATCCTGAGAAACAGTCCTGTAAAGTTTCATGACATCATTGTAAATTTTAACTGAGTCAAGTACCATTGACAAAAGATAATAAATCCAAAAGTGAAACCCAGGTGCACAATATCACATGCTGAGCTACATTCCTGTAAAGTTTCATGACATTAGGTCAAATACTTTTTGAGCTACATGCGACACAAACAAGAACGGATGGACGTAAGGAATTTAAATGCCCCCCCTCATAGTGGGGGCACAATAAAAAGCATTTAAAGGAGTCTAAATGCTATTGACTCAAATTAGGTTAAGAAGTTTGCTAAATATCAATTTAATTCTATCATCTGCATATTTTTCAGTTTTAGGTGCCCCAGTTGATCTATGTCAGATTATCAAATTTCATGTTTTTGGGCATTTGTACCTCAGTGGAACTCCCTTGTTTTTCGTTACAATTTAACATCTAATCGGAATAGGTGTGTTTCATGAACTTTTTTCCATATTGATGAACAAGCCATGTAAATAATTTGTTAAAATAAAATAAATGCATTCATTTATCATTCAGAAACACCTAAAATCTCTCATTCACATATGCATAAAAAATTATTGAAGTTTAAAAAATATAAATTGTATTTAAATCACATTAATTTTATTTTTCCTATTCTTAAGTTTTAAGACTTGTTTTTAATATTTAAACTGTCTCCAACCAAGAAACAGAGTTAATTGTCATACATTTATTCAATAAATAGATGTACGGAAATCAATCTAATTACCCTGGTTACTTTCATGGCTGTCCCTTCTGGTAGATTTCTTTGGATATATTCTAGTAAAGTATCTGCTGTGGACCCTGTTAATTTATGTATCTGAAAACATAGAATTATTGATAGGTGCAAAGTGCTTAAGAATTATATTCTTGATGACAGCAACCTGGAAAATTCTCTTAATTTTTTGTTCACAGCATTTTAATTTTTTGTTCACAACTAATATTTACATAAGTGGCGTGAAGCCATCTTTTACAAGAACTGTGACAGAACCTTCAAAATGTACATCAAATGTACAGGTTTCATTAGTAAACCATGAAGAGATCTGTCCTAATAAATTTAGTCAAGCCTGTTAATTATTACCTGTTGTGTTATGTTTTTAGTTTAACAGACACTTAATGGTCAAATGGTGGTGTTTCCAGATGTAACAGTTGAGAAAGATACCACTTGTACAGTTGTACTACTTGAATAATTTCAGGTACAAGTGGGTAAATGAGTAGAACCAGCAACCTTAAGTAAGCTAGTCACCAAGTCGTTTGGCCTCCAGAGGTGAAGGGTAGTGATCTGACCAGCCTACACATCATAGCAGCTGCCCAGATTCTTTAACAGTTGGTTGCTGAATTTCAGCAATTTGATGTATAAAAAAAACAACCTTAAGATAAATAAACATGGTCAGCAGGCTTTATGTCAATTACACAAACCTGAGAAAGGTTCAGTTTTACTGAACCATAATTCCTACCTCAAAGTAACAGTAAAATACATTTGTTATTCAAATGAGTATTAAATCAAAAATGGCTTTTCCAAACCTTGCTATCTAGTTTTGTTTTTGTTTTTTTGTTTGAAAAATTTTCTTCTCACCTCAAAAACTAGGAAATGAGTTCTATGTTCATACTGTGAATAATGCTTCTTGTAGATGTGTACTGATTTGGCTACAGAATGACGTTCATACTGAACCCTAGGTTTTGTTCTGAAATAATACAAGTAGCATGGTTTATGTAACAGTTGGCTAGCCGTTGCCACCAGTCTAGAGCCAGCCCTGCCCTGCAAAAGGCATAGAATTCCTTCATAAAATATTATGACTTTTTAATCCCTCAACCTGCTAGAACAGAAAATGATTTGTGTTTGCCGCCAATAAAGAGCCTGGCTGGTCATCCTAGCAGTCTGACCAGCCACTTTACTGCAGGTAGATCAAATTTTTGTGATTTGATAATGAATTCCCTAAAAGTTTGAATGGACGGTTCAAATTACTAAACATGGAAAATCTATTATACAAGTTCAGCAGAGGCAGGGTTAAATTTGACTAATATTCCTTGGTAAAATCACTGACCTTCTGTATTTATATCTTAAGACACATAGATTATAAACCTAGCCAAGCAGGCTCTTCGACCCTTTAAATCATTAGACATATAAGTCATCTGGTCTAGGAGGGCCAAACCCTCACAAAAGAATTGAAAATCAACATAAAATTTAATTGCAGCATATAACCAATGAAAAACACAGGCAACTTACATGTAAGAAATGATAAAATACAATGTGTAATAATTATTAATGAAATAAACCATAACTCACACTTGAAATATTGGTATGGCTAAATGTTTACAGGCTAATGTGACAAATATCTGGTAACTTCGGAGGACCCTCTCATCGTGACCTTTGACCTCAATGATAATCTTCTTATACAAAACATCTGGCTCATCTGTATCTTCCTATATAAAACATTGAGAAATTAATAACACTAAAGTGTATATGTTAAACTTTTTCATATGCATGGATACATTGTATTGCCAAGTAACATACCAATGTCACCAGCCCTTTAAACATATCAAAGTAACCAACTAATTAATTAGTCATCTGAATACTGCAGTGATAGGCCTCATTAATCTTGAGTAAATGAGTAACTAGAATTATTCTACAATCTCTTTAATCATAAGTAACTAGAATTATTCTACATTACCTCTTTAATCATGAACATTTTAGTATAATCTCTTATTCAACTTACCACAGTATCACTTGCTTTTGGACTATTTCTGGAAATGAAATAAAAATATGAAGTTGTATACATTTTCATGAAAAACTGAATACAAAGCATGAGAGCATTATTTCTGTTCTAATTGGTGATCCACGTGTGACACTTTACAAGTATGTTATGATATAACGAATAATAACTATTTGTGTGACAAGTATAATATTGTGCATTGTTTTCTGAAAAGCTTAAATGTGTTTGTTTGTTTAATTTTACAGGGCACCAACGCAGATTCGGTCATGTGGAACTGAAACAAGACAGATGATTTTGGCTAACCTCCGGTATAACTTGACAAAGTCATGTCCTCTTGTTCTTATCAGAAAATTGTTAATAGGCAAGTCATTACAATTTGATGAGGATGCAAAACACAAAGGTTATCAAATACAGCTTGAACCAGAGACACAAAACTCTAGACCACCCAATATACATATCTACCATAATATGAAAGTCAATAAAGTGTAAAAATCTATTTTTACCAACAATGCCCTTGACCTGGTGACCTCAAACTCAACCATATGTTAAAGTGCTACCCAAGATATATTTCTACCAAATATGAAAAAAGTCTATCAAGACTGTATAAGCAAAAGTACAATAATTTATTTTTAGCACTGGTGACCTTGAACCAAGTAACCCTTAGATATTGCAAATTGAACTTGATACATTTCCAACATGCAGTGTTTAAAAAAGGGCAATATATGTCAAAAACACATGCCACAAATATGTACCTTGCCAAGATGATATACTTTGTATTGATTCGAAAGTGCTAAATGCACTTGTACAGATTCAACTTAAGATATATCAAACATGTTGTAATAACTCAACCATAGCTCTTTTCAAAGTGCACAAAAGGGAAATAACTGGGGGGAAATGGAAGCTGTAGTTACCATATGTAACATGCCAAGATAGGTAAATAATTGTGTCAATTATGGAGCCAATGGTACAGGTAAAACTTGAGACTTTTCCATCTTGCCAGAATAACGTAAGCTCATATGGACAGGCATTCTTAGGGGATATACACTACAGGGTTGTTCCTTTGGTATACTTTAAATTTGCTCTTAAAGTCTTTCGACTCCATATATGACTTTTTTTAACATCAGAACTGAGAAATACAGTTTGTACAAAATAACCTTCATAATGTAAAGATGCACAAAAACCCTAGCCCCATCTTTATCCTGTAAGATAAGATGTACAGACAGACAAACAAACACACTTGAATTATGTAATCAAGTTGAGAACATTCGTCATGGTGAACAACAATCTGTGTATTTTAAAGTGCACTGAAGTAAGCTTGTATAAATATATAATTATCCAGTAACTAGGACAGCTTTCTAACTTTTATGCACCTGTCATATGTTGGAGGTTACAAATGACTGGTGTTGAGTGCATAAAAGTAAAACCAACTAAGGTACATATAAACTTTACATATGGTGATTATCACCTAAGAGCACTAGTTAGTACCGAAGTTGTGAATTCTGCTTATATCTCATACATAATATTGAAGAATTTAAGCCACAGGTGTCAGTATCTGTGTTTGGCCACCAAATACAAAACCACTGATATTTTTAGAATTTTTTTATCATTAACATAAAATGAACATTATTATTAGCTGAAAGTCAATTTTTTTTATCAAGACGAAGCTTTTATATTTTTCCAAGAACATCAATTAAATGTACATAACTTAAAAATTTCTTTTAAATTAATTTTTTCATTAATATATGTAAAGTAAAATTTCTTTTAATTAGTTTCATCAGTAATCTAAAGTAATTTTTAATTTTAGAAAAACAACAAAATTTCTGACCCTTTTTCAAGACAATGGCATTCTTTAATTTAATTTCTTAAAGTTTTGTGCTTATTTCTAGACTATTCTGTTGAGCCTGAACCCATTTTGAGACAACCATCCCAGAATGATCCAGATTTTGGACATTGGAGAGAAAAAGCTACCACTTTCACAAGAAATTATTCACCATGGCAATCATCTGATCTGTTTCTCGGACAAATTGATACACTGATCTGATTTTTAGACAAGTATACTTGTTTGAGAGATATAAATGATCTGAATTAATGACATGAGGAAAATATTGATCCAGATCATCCCAAACCTGTACACTTCAACATTCAGTAAATTTGTTTTCTGTTTATTTATCAGGTTAATATAGGAATACAGATTAAACATTTCAAGATAATCAATGTGTTTTTTTTCCCTTTCTGTTTATACACAATGTACATAATGACATTTTAATACTGATAGGTAATACATAATTCCATATGGCAGCCAGAGGAGATTAATAACTGCCATATTCACAACTTACATGTATGATGAATTATGATCAAATAAATATACTTGATTTTTTTTTTATTTCATCAGCTTACAGTTTATTTGCAAAAATGCATGATCTTTATTATTACAACTTCCTCACACAGAGTCATAGTGAAGGACATCATGCATTTCCTGTTTATATTTACAATTTACTTTTAGAAAACAGAAATGTATGATGAAAAAGTGATCACTATCATTTCATCACTTTTAACCTGCTGAATTTCAAAAATTGACTTGTCCAACTTCTATTTTTGGAACAATTCGTTATCAATTATCGGGGTATCAAGATGAAAATTTGAAACTGGTCCGAATCAACAGCGCAGAGCAGAAGTTCTGGCTGGTGTGGCTCTTTATATGCTGGTAGCAAAGTGTTGCAAAACAGCATAAAAAAAAATTCACAAGTTACATAAGATGATGTAATTTATTGATTATACAGTGTAAAGGTACATAATTTTAGTTCATAGATGTAGATATAGTGCTTAGACCAAGTAAACATTTTTTAGAGGTTAAAATACAGTAAACAATTTGAAAATCTGAAAAAACATGAATAATTATTCAATAAATAAACATTAACATATGCCTTCAGGTAAAGTTTGAAAAAAACAACCACATAAATAAATCAACAAGTGAAATCCACGTAGGCAGAATAGCAACATTATAATATTTGAGATACGAGATTAGAAGATTTCATGATTACAGATGAATGCAATTTTCAATTGAATGAACTTGAAGATGCTTTATATATCTATATACTAAATCAAGATCTGATAGTTTCTGAAAAATTTTCACCCCCCCCCCCTTTTTTTTGCTTTCTCAAATGGTGAAAAAATGCCTAATTTAGGCCACCAACACTTGTTTTTGTCTGAGAAATGTTGTTTAAAAAAGTGACATCTTTTTCAGCGCCATCCCCCATCCAAAAGATACATCAGGGGGTTGCCAGAAGGGGGATGACCCCCTTCTGTTTGGTGGGTTTGAAGGGGGGCGGTAGTCCCCCTCATCGCCAAGAAAATTTTGGATTTGTGAGAGGCTAAAAATGACCCCAGGTCGATCATAAGGTAACGTGTAACCAACGCTGAAAGCCTTTGACTCTATCTCAATCCATTGAGAAGTGGCAGCACTTTGAAATCAATTTTGATGGAAAAAATCAACGCAAAATAGTGATTTTGGCTTTTTTGAGATGTCCCCTAGTTGCCATGGTAACAGGAAATTTAAGACTGAGCATGTTGTTTCAAAGGCAATCGTCCAGTCAACATTTGTGCCAAGTTTGATTAGTATTGAAGCAGTTTTTATAGATTTATAGCAACTTGAACTTGTAAAGGGGGACTTTTCAATGAAAACAGCCATTTTTCACAAAATGCTCGTGCAGTAATGGGTTAACTTAAATGTGGGGAAAATAACATAGTATTTCTGCAAAAGAGGAAAGAAAAAAACTTGATTTAAAATTGATGATTTAAAATGATTTTCCGAGGAAAGACACCAGTCCTGTACCCTACCAATGCGTTCAAAGGAAAAGAAACTCTCATATTTCACAAATTATTGTGATTATACATCTAGAAGTCTAGGTAAAGTGGTTGGTAAAACAGGCAGATATTGGTCAACTGAGCTATTAACTGTAACAATTTATTTCAAAATAATACATGTACATGTAGTTGCTATGACAAAATATTTAAAAGTTGAACTTACCTATCCCTTTGTCTCAGAGGGGAATATGTGAAAATATGTCTACCTTGATTTTGAGAATAGCTGGTAACTTGTGATTCCTGAAAAATAAATAAATCCATACTCAAAATACATATAAAGATTCTGATAGATTTTACTGCTATAAGATAAAAACACCCAGTCAAATCAAAAGAATACCAATACTTAGAAATGATACCCATAGGCTGTGAGTCAAGTCCACAGTTACTACCTTTGCAAAATCATTCTGTCACTATTATCTTCAACTTAAATGGCAATCAAGATAACATGCCGGTAATTTTAAATTGAGTTACTTAGTGTATTGAGTAACTGTAACAGCACTGTATTTGCCCATGTTTTTTTTTTCAAATTTATTATCTCCCTTTATTGATGAATGATGTCTTCTTATACAATTATATATTATACGATACTATACTATACTGCACAATACAAACATACTTATCATTTTGATACACCTTTTCTCTATAATATTTTGAAGACAATATAGTACTAAATATGTGAAACATCAATTATTACCTGCCTCTATACATTTTCAGTACCTGATTTAATACATGTAGATTATTAAAAAAGTTTATTAATTTTTTTTCTAAGATATTAACCTGGTTATATTGTTCAAAACAAACTTCAACATAATGTCATAAACTATATGATAAAGAGTGACGCTAAATTTAACCGTCAACTATTAGAAACCATACAGTTCAGAGTACTAGCTGACCAATAAAAAACAACATTACGTAAAACATACATTATCATTCAATCATGTGTGAATAACAGATTTAGACTGCATTCTATCTCTCAAAAATACAAGTCCTACAAGGCTGAACTTTTTTTTTAATAGATAGCCACTTTAAATGGAATGTATTGCAGAAAATAGGTAAACAATTTCTGCACTTTCAGTCTTCTTATTTACAGCTTGTTTGCGTGAAAAAGAAATTGGGACAACTTTGAAAAATTACAAATTTAGAATTTAATTTGGTCATATTATAAATCTATCTTCTTTTTAAGATTTCTGATAATACATGTATCCATGTCTATGGACCTTGCTAATGTGATATTCACCTTGAACTTAGGCCTCGTGATTCTCACATTTACCAGGTCCATAGACTTGGAAAGTCATCTTTTCATCACACAATAATTGCACACTACTTACAGTATTTACATGTATATGAATTAAAGTCTTAAAAATTGAGAAAGAGAAACTAAAAATCAAATACTTACCATTGTCATTTTTAGATATTTTTACTTCACCCTTTGATTTAAACGCACATTATGCCTCAAAAATGAATAAATTATTACTTTTTAAACAAGAACTGTCGGAGGACAGTAACGCTCGACTATTCGAAAATTTGTCACAAGGGTGTTTCATTGAGTATAATAATGCTTACCTATATGAATACATAAAATTGTCCGAAAAGGTACAAACTCTTCAAGTTTCAATACATTCCCTTCAGTAGTTATGGAGAGACAAGCTTACATGCAAAAACTTTACCAAGAATTCATGAGTCGAAAAAGGGGCATAATTATGCAAAAAAAGCAAATCAGAGTTATAGGACTTGTACCAATCATCTTAGATAATCACAGAGACCAAGTGTGTGAAGTTTCAATCCATTCCCTTCAGTAGTTATGGAGATACCAGCTTACATGCAAAAACTTAACCAAGAATTTCTAAGTCGAAAAAGGGGCATAATTATGTTAAAAAGCAAATCAGAGTTATGGGACTTGTGCCAATTATCTTAGATAATCACAGAGAACAAGTGTGTGAAGTTTCAATCCATTCCCTTCAGTAGTTATGGAGATACCAGCTTACACGCAAAAACTTAACCAAGAATTTCTAAGTCAAAAAAGGGGCATAATTATGTAAAAAAGCAAATCAGAGTTATGGGACTTGTGCCAATCATCTTAGATAATCACAGAGAACAAGTGTGTGAAGTTTCAATCCATTCCCTTCAGTAGTTATGGAGATAACAGCTTACATACAAAAACTTAACCAAGAATTTCTAAGTCGAAAAAGGGGCATAATTATGAAAAAAAGCAAATCAGAGTTATGGGACTTGTGCCAATCATCTTAGATAATCACAGAGAACAAGTGTGTGAAGTTTCAATCAATTCCCTTCAGTAGTTATGGAGATAACAGCTTACATACAAAAACTTAACCAAGAATTTCTAAGTCGAAAAAGGGCATAATTATGAAAAAAAGCAAATCAGAGTTATGGGACTTGTGCCAATCATCTTAGATAATCACAGAGAACAAGTGTGTGAAGTTTCAATCCATTCCCTTCAGTAGTTATGGAGATACCAGCTTACATACAAAAACTTAACCAAGAATTTCTAAGTCGAAAAAGGGGCATAATTATGAAAAAAAGCAAATCAGAGTTATGGGACTTGTGCCAATCATCTTAGATAATCACAGAGAACAAGTGTGTGAAGTTTCAAGCCATTCCCATCAGTAGTTATGGAGATACCAGCTTACATACAAAAACTTTACCACAGGGACGCCGACGCCGACAAATGGGTGACTGCATTAGCTCGATTATTCTGCGAATAGTCGAGCTAAAAAGTGTAAACGTGAGTTTTAAAACATTAAGTAATGGTTTCAGAGCATGTCAAATGCTTCTAACATGAAGAAAGTAGCACTGAATGCGAAAAAATTCATACATTGCTTGACTCATTTCTTCATAGATGTCTTTTCACGCCTTTTTACCCCCCTGCCCTTTTGAGGCCTCATATAGTAAAAAAAATGCCCTATTTAGACCCCAAACACTTGTTTTCATTTGAGAAATGGTGTTAAAAAAAGTGATCACTTTTCGGCGCCATCCCCTATCAAAAAGATACATCAAGGGGGTGCAAGAGGGGGAATGTGCCCCTTTCTGTTTGGTGGTTTGGTCACTGACCCCCTCATCTCCAAGAAAAATTTTGGACTTGTGAGAGGCTAAAAATGGCCCCAGGTTGAACTGATGCTGATGTGTAAAGCCTTTGACTCTTTCTCAATCCATTGAGAAGTTGCAGCACTTTAAAATCAGTTGGTGGAAAAATAGCAATTTGAACTTGTAACAGGAGGCTTTTCAATGAAAACAGCCATTTTTCAGGAAATGCTCATGAAGTAATGGGTTAAGGATCATAATTGGAGGTCGCTGTCAAAGGCCAATAAAATTCATGTCAGAGTTGCGGGCCTTTGACAGTGTCCTTAAGCAATGTATGATCAAGTAAAGATCATCAGCAGCTTTGATGATTGATGTTACATGCTAAAGTTTAACCAAGAATTATCAAGTTTGCAAAGTGCTAAAATCAGTCAAAATCCATTTCAGAATTCAGAGTGATGGGGCCATGGATACTAGTGAACTAAAATAATGATTCCAAAAATATGTCATAAATTTCAAGTGAAGTTCTTCAGTAGTTTTGAAGATTGCTGTTTTATGCAAAACATTATGAATTTTCAAAATTCAAAAGGGGCTATAATTTTGTCAAAATCCAATCCAAGCTAGAGTTTTGGGTCTTGTTAAATGACCTCCTTTTAATCTCAAATTAGTGTGTGAAGTTACTATAAGAAATATCTTTAGTGGTAGCTGTCTAGCTGAGATGTGACGGTGTATAAAAAGCTGCATGTTAAACTTTAACCAAAGTGCTATGCCTATACAGATGGAACAGAATAGCCCCACTTTTATTCAAATAGACAAGCTTAAATATGAGTTTTATTAATCAGATTCTGTATCAGTTTCCATCTTCTTCACAACACTTAACATGCACATGAGTTGACCAAGTCAATGAAATTGAAACAAATATTTATATGCAGTTATGTTACAGTAATGTAACGGACAACAATTTAAAACAGATTGTGGTTAGACTCTAACTAACAGTAACAGTATATAAAATCCATCAGAACATGACACTATGTACAGCTCTTGGTAGGAATTATTTTACAACATGCTTTTGAACCACATACTTCATAATTTTTAGTAACATTTTAATTGAGAATAATAAAAAACATAAATTCTTTGAACATTAATGATCTTTTTGTTGATATCATAATCAAAGAGAGATGAAATTTTAAATATTTATTGGGGTCGAATAGTTTAATGGGCAAATCGTGTCCTTGTTTCATGTTACTGCTACATCACACATGTATGCAAATGACTAAATGTCATACTTACGTGACATTTTAAAAGCGATGATAGTCTACAACAACATGCAATTCTCGATGTGCCATACATGCAATTAGATATTAAATTAATTGTTCTTGGCAATGTTTTTGTGATGGAGGCTGCCATTTTTTTCTGCAGATCACTGTTAAAAATATCTTTCAATTTCAATTCAATGCGAATATTATATAATCTATGGAATTTATATGATTTATCCCTTTTAAATTGAATAATTTGTATGATAAAATGAGATTTTTTTAATGACGAAAATAGAAGATACTGTATGTCCCGCAGTTAAGTGTTGCTACAACAAGTTATCGACCATGGTCAGTAAAACTAAAATCTTATTTAATAATTACTCGTTTTAAGTTTATCATTATAAATTCAGTGTTTAAATTATATTCATTTCTATTTCAGGCAAAGGCAACGACAATCAAAGAGGCAATAACAAGATTTGTAAGTATTATAATTTCAACAAAATGTGAAACACCCGTCACATTCGTACCCATTATTTTTCGTGCACAATGTTTTACAGGCTAAAATTTTATTTCTTAAAGCTGCATGCCTCCGGATGAGTCAAAATATTTCAATGAAGTCAAACTTGAAAAATATGTACTACAATTTTAGGAAACGTAAAATGGTTGAAGATTCAAGTAATATTTTACATGTTATGTGCGGTTAATGACTGATTTTTTAGTATTTACAACTGCATTTCTACAGTAAGTGCTATTTATGCATATTTTGACCACTTTTTGGTAATTTACATGGCTTGTAAGTGCCATTGATAATGGGCAAATGGCTTCCTTTTGGTAATTTCACAATATTATACATTCAAATACATTTTCAAAATTTTCATGATAATAAGTTATAATCTGGAGGCGTGCTGCTTTAATGTTTTTGTTACATTATTAATGAATTAGCTCTAGCACATATATTTCAAATTCAAACTTGAAACAAAGATAAATTGATGCTGAATCCTTGTTTCTTGAATCATGCAGACTAAGGAGGGAGTCAGCACTTGTGGCTTGCATCAATATGAAATAAGGTATCATTCAGATTATACAGCTTATAACCAGATCACACCTAAACGGGAAATGCCCCCAGGGGGAATTAACCATATATTGCCTTATTGTAATAAGAACCTATTCTAAGACCAAACCTTTTGTCCAAGAAAATTTTATTTTCTAGGAGTATTCTTACTACAATATTCTTCCCCGGATGTGTTTGACATAAAAAAGTAAGAAAAAGTCAATGGTGGCCCCTAAGCTTTTTTGGTGGCTCTCGTCATATATACTTCTACTGTTCTCAGTTGTTCATTTATATTCTGTTGAATTGTTTGGTTAATTATGACATTCATGTTGCTAACGTAGTGTAGTTTGGCAAAATTTTTCACAAGTTTACTGGTTGGAGACCATCAACCGCACACTTTTGGAACATTTTTCCATACAGATTTCATAATTTTAATCTAGATACCAATAAATTTGACACAGTTCAGCTTGGTTCTTCTCCTAACTAACAAACTAGTTTGTTTATTTCTGATTGTATTGACACTTATATCTGAGGCTCGACAAGGAGGGTATCAAAATTACCTAAATTGTCTACACTACAGTACCATATGTGTCCGGACAGATATGTACATGATGTGATTTAATTCAGGTAAAAAGTTGGGTGTTTTGATTTTTAACATGATATACTATATGTCAGCAACAAATGCTGAAGTTTTGGATATTCCATTATTCACTCTGCAAATGATTATAGCTGGTATATGAGGTCAGGCATTGCTTTCTTGACCCCCAAATTTCAACGTCAACATTCTTGAAATAGACATTAAAATATTACCATTTACGGAGGTTGAAATAAATTTATTTTCTTAATTTTAAAAGAAACATGCACTTATCGTTGATAAAAAGTGACTGACAACGAAAATACTAAATTAAGCATTTCCGGGGCCGTCCGGGTTTGGTGGTTGTCCGGTTTTGGTGGTCTCCAACTAGTCGTGCTGTTTTTATTTCATTCTATTATTAAAATTATAAAAATTAAGTATGATACCACTGTGTTAACAACGCTTTAACCAGGACTTTAACAGAACAGAGTACAGAAAGTTTAATCAGTGTTCTGCATAATCAGGCTTATCAACATTTATTGAATAAAACAAAACATGTGTAAACATTACATTGTGTTTTTGCAGCATGCTACAAAGAATTTAAAGTATCGTCATTCAAATGATAATGACATTCATCTAATATATCATCATAATTGTTTTTTTCAGGAGGAGAAAGAGAAATGTAAAGCCGGTGAGTCTAAGGCAGTCATGCTGTATGGACAGATACCTCCAATAGAAAAGATGGATGCTTCTCTATCTACACTCAATAACTGCGAGTAAGTTATTGTGTTATATTTCTTATATTATATTAATAATTATATTATGTTATATTTTTTACAGATCAACATTAAGTACCCAGTTCTGTCTTTTTATTTATTTTCAAGATTTCCTAAATTGCATCTTTTAAACCATTTGAATATAAAGTTTACTGCTTGGAATTATAAATACTTAAAATAAGTGTATAATGGTATCATACATTGTATATTAATTTACATACATGTATATTTAAATATTTTTTTCTAAATCCTTTTATACTGTATAGCATAATTATCCTTAATTCATACAAGTATACATTTGTATATTTTTACAAATTTATATACAACTTTATTGGTTTATACAGAATTTATTTTAGTTTGATTGTGTACAACTTTATTATCATTCTATTATTAAATTGATATGCATGAAACTTTACAAATTTGACAGTAAAATTTTTGTCTGTAATTATGATTTAGATCTAAATGTATTATTATTTTATTTTTTTTATCTTTAATGTTGTTCTTTTATTTCTTTACAAAGTTATTTCTACATTAACTTATGCTATTACAGACAACTTGCTCTTTCTACAAATGTTATTGAAAAGATTGCAAACCTAAATGGTTTGAGTAAGTTGAGTGCAGAGAAATGATTGTATTATTTGTTTAATTAGCTTTATTAATTTGATGAATGTATTACTAAAGTGGTTTAGACTGAAAAAAAGAAAAGCAGTGATAAATTCACATTAAAAACTAGGGTGTTGCACTGCAGAGATTTCACTGTATCTGAAATCATCTGAATACTGGTTTTTGTTTAAAACAGATTGGGCTGAATAAGGTTGTTTTCAAAGTTGATAAATATTTTTAGATTTCTATTATTTAATAAAAAAGAATGTTTAAACCAATTTAGAAGGACAATTATATTGTGTGATATAAATGCTTTGCAGGGTTTTGTTGTGTAATCCATTAATGTCATAGAAAAAAAACAAAATAATTCTTCTTAATCAGTAATGCTATTAATTAATGTATATGCCGTGAATAATATCTACAGTAGAACTTCGGTAAGTCAAAATTGATAGAAACTTGCTCAAAAACTTCTACACCCCAGGACTTCAACTCATTTATTGAATCAATCTCAAATTCATGACAAAATATCGAGCCATCTACATTTACATGTGAAGTGCAAAAGTCGATAACTAAACTAACTTATAATAAATATATCCTGTGTGATTATCACATGACATTGGGTCATCAAAACTAATTCATTCTGTTTACTTTTAAATATAACTATTATCTATGGCATTTAGACTTACTCAAGAATTCACAATATTTTGTGTTTTTTCCCATCTATTAAATGTATGGTTAACAAACAAACTTTTACAATACAGTTTCACAATATAAGTGCAACAGGTTGACTTATCTATTGTGACCAAAAATGCACCATGAATTGTAAAAGTTTGTGTGTACCTGGTGATTAGCTCCAATAAAAAAACTCCATTACTGAGTTCTGGATAACATGATTTATTAGAATGATAATAAAAAAGTCATCATTTTCAAACATTTTAATGCCAACAAAGGCTATAAGAACACACTGCTGTATTATTAACACCTGTCATACAAGTTGATCTGCAATCATCTTACATGTAGCATCCAGAAAAGATGTGAAGAATATCTCGAAAAGGTGCAAAATATTCAATTAGACTTCCACATATTTATGTTAAAATTTCAGGGTGTTCACTATTCTTGAAATCCTGAGGTTCATTAAAACTAAGTTTTACCTACTACAAGGTCAAATCCCCATTATTTTAACAAAATATGACCCTCCAGTTAAAATCCTGAGAGTCAAATCAGGCCTTTTGGAAATTTGAAGGGTCAAAGAGTCATTTTAAGGGTCAAATGGACACCCTGAATTTCCTTAAAATATATGTTACAGACCATGTAAAAACTTTGACACATGGAAAAAAATTGGCAAATCATAATAAAGGTTTTAATTAAGAAAAATCAGGCCTTTCATTGCACTTGAACGCGTTCAGAAAATCAACATATCTAATCTAATTACACATCGAAGTTCTACTGTAGTTGTATAATAATGTATGATTAGTAAGGTTTATTTTAACGTTAACAAGGGATAGGTATTGTGCGACTGTGTGTAAAACTCTTCAATAGTTCATTGTTTTCATTACTTTTGACGTTTTGATCAGTGCTTATATATTAACTTTCATAAAACTATTGGATACATATTGAATCTTTAAATATATATGCTGCACTAAATAAACCCCTTTAAAATGCAGATAAATAGAGACCTGAAATTTATGCTTCATATTTGAATAAGATGATTAATGTATTGTTTTAATTTTTGGAATGAATTAAAGAAGTTGTTAACATCAAGATGTTTATTTTCAGAGCATCTGAAAATTCTATCATTGGCTAGAAACAGTATAAAGTCATTGACTGGATTGGTGAGCATTGGATTTTCCTTTTACAGTTTAATTGAAATTGGAATATTCCTGGAAAACTTCTGTCAAGGATTGTTGTTAAAGAATATCATTGTAGCATCTTATTACAGTGTATCAACTGATTATATTTCATAAAAACACTGGCTTTTAAAGAAGGTAGAAGTGTGTCAAATTAGCATGGTTCTAACTGTGTAAGAATAAAGGCGCACTTTTGTTAAGAAATATTGGAATTTCTTTAAATATTTTTATTATGCTTTTTTATTAGGCAATTAATATTTGCCTGCCTTGTTACAGAAGGTAGATAATTACGTTGATTTAATGTCTTTGAATCTATTTTCTTGGCAAATATGGTTAATTTTGATACACATAGCCATAATGTCACAGTTTTCTACTGTTCCATACCTGTTTCAAATTATTTATACAGGACAGTTTTCAAGTAAGCTGTAAAGCAATCCATTACTTGTAAAGAATACAGGATGAACACTATATAAACTGATATTTGACTGAAATTCTATATCAAGTTGGCACTCATCTGAAAGTGTGTCCACCATAGTAGCAATTAAGTTGTTAACTCATGATATTATGCAATACACATATATGAAACTACATGTATACTAAACTACATGTGTAATGGGGCGTTTTTGGCGGAATGTTTAAGGTTGTTAACTTCAAACCACTTGCTCCTCACCGCTGTGGGTTCGAATCCCGAGAGGGACATTGGATTCTTTCATGTGAGGAGCTATCCAGCTAACTTTCTGTACATCGGTGGTGCTACTCAGGTGCCCATTCTTGCCTGAAATAATGCATAGAAGGGCTCCTGAGGTCTTCCTCCACCAGTAATGTGGGAATGTCGCCATATGACCTATATTGTCTGTGTAAAATCCAATTAAACAAACAAACAAGAACTACATGTGTGCTAATTTTCTGTTAATCATAGGAAGCTGTTGGTGACACACTTGAAGAATTGTGGATATCTTACAACAACATTGAGAAGTTGAAGGGAATCAATGTGTTGAAGAAACTAAAGGTACATTATATTAAGATTTATCAAATCAATATTTATGAATAGCATCATAGTCATTTGAATAAGAAATAGGACATAGATTTATTTTATCCCCAAAAGTTTTTGATATGCTACAATAATTATGTAGTGTAACCAAAATCATTTGTTACAAACACAGTGAAAGCACTTGATAAGTTGATATTTACCTTTTCATAAACTTGAACAAAACTTATAAGTTTTGTAAGAGGTATTTTTGAAAAGAAATTTTTAATTTCGAAGAAAATTCCCGAAATGCCACACATCTTTTTCCCAGTTTAAGCACACATAAAAAGATGAAAATGTCCCTGAAGTCACTTAGTCTTGACATGCTTAAAACTTTTATATAATACAGCTTACAAACTTCAGCAGTATAAGTTGATTACTTATATTTAATAGACAACAACAAAACAAATTTTTGCTGTATATTTCAGATTCTCTACATTCGACAAAACAATGTGAAAGATATGAACGAATTCATGAAACTGGTAAGTGTTTTTAAATCACTGTTTCATATGTGGGAAATACAAGAAGACCTTAAAAGTTTAATAGTGTGTTGTGGTATATAATATTACAACAAACTTCTTGATACCATAGAAAAGTATATAGACTCGATTTACTATGTGGCATTATTTGCTTACTAGTGTTTTCATACAATGCTACAATATACTTGGATGTTATTTTCAGGCAGACTTGCCATGTATGATAGAGCTTGGTTTTGTTGGCAATCCTCTGGCAGATGCCCTTTCTGAAGTAAGCAGTGAAAACTATACTGAAACAATAACAAAGAAGCTACCAAAATTGAAGCGTCTAGATGGTATGTTTGGTATTACTGTTTTCAGGAAAATAATGAGATTTGATTATATTGGTTATGACAAACTGAGCTAAACCCAAGTATGATAATTGCAAAGTTAGATGTTCCTAAAGTTTCCATATCTTTAACATTTAGCTTGGGCTTGGTGGCCATGGATTCTACCCATGCATAAGGTCTGATTATGGTCTGCACTGTTCACTGTTATATCAGCACATATTTTGAAATTTTCCCTAAAAATGATGAATAGTTGTTTCTAGATTGAAAGATGGGCAAGTTCATTTAGGATATTAAGGGATAATAACAATTAGTTATCAATTTACAGGCTCTTTTAATTGTTAGTCATGAAGATTATTAATCTTACAAGAAGCTGTTGCTATGTGGCCTTGAAGTTTAAAGTGACAAACTGCTCATTTTTTGTTTCTTTTTTAGAAATGTTTAATAAGTTATGTATTTCAAAAAGTTAAATATTTCAATGGTCATTGACAGAAATTCAAGAATGAAAATATGGTAAAGAAAAAATATAAAAACTGCCTAAAATATGAAAACACGGGCCTGCTCTTTTTATCATTTGACCATTACAGATACATTCTTCAGGACATTTTTAGAATTTTTCATGGGTTATTGATTATTATTGTGAAGTAAAATACTAAATTAAAAAAAAATTTGCCAAAATGTAAAGTTTTTTTTAAAACTTTTACCTGTAGACTCACTATCTATGCATAGATGTGCATAATGTCACTGTAACATCTGTACCATAAGACTAAGAGTTAAAGAGATAGTGTCCTCTTTTAACAAGTGAACTTGACCTCTTTAAATCACTCGCTACTCAATGTTCTCGGTAAAGTCTGTCATGCAGTGGTAGCTATCTAGGGCTGATGTAACTTGCGAGAAGTTTGTGGTTCTTACCAAGGTTCCTGCTTAATCTTTAGCATACTACATATAGCGGTAACCGAGTCTACCCATGCAACCTGTGCTGGCCAAGATTAGCCAGCATCTGATCATAGTGTGCATTGTTTGCAATTCAGACAGTACATAGTTTAATAGCTTTCTGTAAAATGATGAACAGTTGTGTACAGATCGAGAGATGGCTAAGTCCATTTTGCGTAGTAAGGGTTAAGCATTAAATAAAAACTCACAGGGGGTAACATTGTGTCTTCTATAAGACTTTAAAGGTGTTGGCATGACTGAAAACTCACTGCAGCTTAAATACTACATTTGATAATATGAAAAATTCTGTTGCTTTTTTTTCTCCAGGGTTCACAGTTATTCGTGAGGACCAGGAGGACGAAGATTGATGTGTGAAACATGGAAATATATTAAAACTTTGAATAGTGCCATAAATAACCATTAAAGCTGCATACCTCCAGATGAGACAAAATATTTTAAGAAAATCAAATTGGAGTAAAAATGTACTAAGATTTAAAGAAAAGTAAAAAGATTCAAGTAAAAAATTAGATGATTTGTGGGATTCATGACTGTTTTTACAGTATTTATCACCATATTTCTACTGCGTGACTAATGCAGTAAGGACTATTTTTACATATTTTGACCTCTTTTTGGTAATTTACATGGATTGTTAGTGCCATTTGCAATGTGTAAATTATTTTCTCTGTTAACTTCACATTATTATACTTTTAAATACCTTTTCAAAATTTTCATGAAAATTAGCACAAGTCTGGAGACATGCTGCTTTAAGATCATTAAAAATTATTGTACATGTATATAATATCATGAGGAAGATTCTTATTACAACCCTTTTCAACCTTTTGTTGTTTGTGGCATAAAATCATTACAAGTAAAGAATGGCTGATGATTTATTTTAAAAAAAAGTGTACCACTACATTTAAAGTATTTAGACACAATTTCTAAACTTATTTGTATAAATTGTATAAGAGATTATATTTAACTGTTTTTTTTTTATTGTAGATTTTTAAAATTGTTTACAATGCTTTTTTTAATCAAAGAGACTTGAATTTCGAGCTGGGTATTTTAGATTTATAGAATCAAAATAATTTGACTCGGCTATATAGTATGTTTGTCAGAGAACACCTAACTGACTACAAACTAGTGGTATGTGGAGTCATTATTGCCACTAGGAATTTAAAGAGTTTGAAAGAATTTGGTGAGGATATTGTGGTCATCATTTATAATAGTATAAAAGAGATTGGTTTCCAAAATTTGCCACCTAATCCTAGATTACTGTGAAAATAAATATCTATAGTTATATTCAATCCAGCTTTCATTCAATTCTGATTGTTATTCAAATGAACTTGTTAAGATTGGACACTAATTATTTAAGTGTAATAAGCTATATATTTGCAGCAAATATTATTGTTTGAATTTTAAAAACAATTGCTTCAAAAAAACTTGTATGAAAGTAAAAAGGTTTTTTTTTGCCCTAAAAGTGAATGAAGCTTGTATGAAATAATTGCTAAAAAATAAAAATCTACTTAAAACAGCAGCATATTTTGTTCTGGAACATTTTTTTTTCTTTTTGCCTACAATATTCATTTGTGTAAAATAATTTAGACAGTCTATATTACAAGTTGACTATAAGATAATGGAAACTATACAATTTTACTGTGATAAATTAATATAAAAATATTTCATAAGATATAGCGTTACTTTATACCTTTTAAATCATTATTTTTTCTTGATTTCAATTGCAAATGAATTGTATAGGTGACTGGAGTTGAAATTATCATCTCTAATCTGCAATGCGTTGGCAATTATTAGTCCCCTACCGGTTTACCTGAGGGGACTTTAGGTTTACCCTCCGTCCGTCTGTCCGTCCACAAAACTGGATCTCGCGATAACGCAAAAAGTACTGAAAATATTTTAATGAAACTTGATATATGGGTAGATTGAAACTTCACACAATAGTACGGTAAGAGATGTATCCTTTGTCGATAATCAAACGACTATTTACCAAATAAATCCAATCAATACACAGTCACTTTCTTTAACTGCACCTCACGCTTTGACTACTGATGGACAAATTTCACCAGGACTGGTTGAACTTACACCGGTGATGCTGGACGAGAACACAGAGGTCAAGTTGCCGATAAATGATAGAAATGGTTTAACTCCCACCCCTGTCCTTAGTCCAATTACAGAATCCGCAGCAGACAATGGTCCCGATCATACGCCTGACGGAGGGACATACCTCAATGAATACAACCTTCTAAATCAGTGGTACACAGAGGTACCAAGAGACATGTTTGTTCAAAGGGTTTTACGACATTATGCGTCGAGTGAGCCAGATCTAGAGAACATTAGGCAATTGTTGTTTGATGCATTGCGAGAATTTGAGGACTTCCCATACGATGTAAATTGCGAGCTTAAACGGAGAGTTTTTACTAAACAAGGAGATCCCGTGCCTCTCAAATTTGCGAGAGATATACACACATTAACTTCCATACATCAAGGTGAAGATTTTGTTTCACTTAAGGAGCTCATAAGTACGAGCAAACGCGTATCAGTGTCTGCTCAAGAGTCGACACCAAGACGACCTAAAACCCGTTCACATCTTCTCTCCATTGTAACGCCTAGGCCTGCACGTGTTAACGCAGAATCGAATCGTAGATCCGATTCGTGTCAGTGCGCGAACGAAATGGCTTTATTAAAGGACACCGTGTCTACATTGCAAGCTGGATTTCACCTGCTTAAAGAGTCATTACATGCTAGTGACAAATTAAGAACAGGACAAATGCACTATGTAAAGGCATGTATGGATAGTATTAAAATTGATGTCTTGCAATGCGGCCAAAGTGTACGAAAATGTATCTTGGAATTAGATTTTAAAGCTAAAGCGTGTGAATGTACAAAAGATATTGAGGAACGCCTAAAGAGCATTGATAATCGTGTATGTGGTCTTGAAGATTTTATAGACTCTAATGAGTTACTCTCTGTCTCTAAATTAAACATATGCGAAGAGAACTATAGTTCTAAAAAACAATAGATCCGGAGCCCTGTGGGCTACAGTCATTTTGCGTTGAGACCACTGCAAGTATGACGGGAGTACAAAGCTCGCATCAACTGAATACCACTCACGCTAAATCTGTTGGAGGGCTGGCTACTACTACAGATGTTTCGTCACACGCTACGTCTAATGAAGTCACTTCCGGTGTTCACAAATCCCCTTTAAACAGGAACCAAACTACACATGACACCAATTTCAAATCTGTTGAGTATAATAAACCGTGTTTTGAGATGATATCGTTACATGTTTAAGTACAGATGAAAATTCTAATTTGCTGTCAAGTGCTCCGGACTTTGACCCGCCGTCGTACGCGGATGTAGTTAATTTCGAAAGACCGATGCCCAATGACAACGCGATACAAGTAGTCGCGCACACAACCTTATGCACGGGAACTGACCGTACACAAAACAACTCAAGATCTGAGTCTGAGCCAATACTCATAGTTGATAAGATAGAGGCTCCGAAGCCGATACCGACACGTATAACAGTTAGAAACGATATGCATTCCAACGGGTTTCAAATTCAAAAGTCGTAGACACACGAAAACATTTTTGTTTAATTGGCTTTAAAAATACACTGGATATTGATAGACTAAGTGCTTTTATATCCAATGGTGGATTTCATTTTCGTGATATAGAACCTGAATTGTGGACCCAAGGTTTTCACGATTCGTACATTTCCCATGCGTAAAAGTCGTAATAAATTGCTTGTCCGGCTGAATATTGCAGCCGATGAATACTCTGATCTTGTAATGAAAAACGGTTTCTGGCCTTCACACGTGCGATGTATTCCATGGATGTCAAGGGACGCCCGCCGAAGATCAAGGAACATGAACGCGGACGCTTCTAGTTCGCAGATGAAAAACGACACTTCTAGGGCGTTTCGGTCGTCACAGTTTCAATGTCGGGAAAACAGTAACATAAATCGTTATCGCATTCTAAGTGATATTGACTAACTGTTATCCAATAAATGTCATTTCATATGGCTACTATTTATATGTGTAACAAATTATAAAATGGCTATTAACATAATGACTTGGAATGCAACGGGGTTAATGTCAAGTGCCTCATATCTCACCGGTATTCTTAAACATAGACATATTGATTTTTGTAGAGTTTCATAGCACTGGTTAATGCCCCACAATTTACATTTTATTGATAGTATAAGCATGGATTATAATTATCATGCAGTTTGTAATAGTGATGTTAATCCGAGATTACGATCTGGTAAAGGAGGTGTTGCAATTTTATGGCACAAACGATTTGACAATATTGTAACACCTTTATGTATTGATGATGATAGGATCGCTGGTATTCAAGTGCAGATCTCAAATAACCAATATATGTTTATTTTTCAGATATATTTGCCATGCACTAACCATTCAAACTTTGCATTTTCAACTTACATTGATAAATTGTACGATTTTGTATAACATGTATTCACAACACGGTGTGACTGTATTCATTGGCGATTATAATGCACAGTGGAATGCAATGCCGACCAATTTTCGTCGTATGTTATTGTTGCGATTTATGTCTGATTGTAATCTATGTGCTGTGAATACGCTACCGATTTGTTTAGGTGCCAGTAACTCATATGTCTCATACGATAATATTTATCATACATTGATAGATTATATATGTCTACCAGTAGAAGTTTTAGATTTAGTATCATTTTGTGAAATATTAGATGATAATTGTTTAAATGTTTCTAGACACAGGCCGATTATAGCTTCTTTTTATGTGCATATTGAAACATATTTTGATGTTAAAAACAGTTCAAATTTATATAATGTGAATTGGAAAAAAGCTTCAGATGAGAGTATAGAACAGTTCCGGTCTCTTCTTTCATCCGATAAAGATCTGTTAAATATTGAAATGACTGATCTGGATCGTGAAGGAGTTGATATAGCGTATACTACTTTCACAGAGAAAGTATTGGATAGTGCATCACAATCTTTACCGAAGAAAATATTTAAGAAACATTTGAAACCGTTTTGGAATGTCGAACTCGCAAACTTCCATAAGAAAATGACAGTTTTGAGGGATAAATGGTGTCGTGAAGGAAGACCACGTGGTGACAATCACATAAGTTATGTTGAATATAAATCGGCCAAACGTATATTTAGACGAATGATGAGAAATTGTACAGCTGAGCATCTAAAACTAATGGATCAAGAATTGGACAGAACAGCCGAAGTAGATTCGAACCAATTCTGGAAGCATGTTAGTTCCAGAAAAAGACAGACACAATGTAAGGTGAGCTCCGGAGTTAAATTTGATGATGAGGTTATACGTGACCGTGAAAAACTCACAGAGCACTGGGGACGTTATTTTAGAAAACTTTATCAACCCAGCGAATCACCGGATTTTGACGACAGATTCAAACAGACGGTATGTACTGTTGTGGATGAAACCTTTAGTAATATTGAACCTGATAAAAATGTACGTGTTTTACCCGAAGAAGTGTCCA